TCAATAAAAACGCCTGATGACCTTTTTTTTCTTTTTTTTTAAAGCTTGTCAAGTAATTTTTGGTTGTTAGTGCCCCCCCCCCCCCCAAAGAAAATGCATGGCTGTCCCCCCTCACCCAAACTGAAATTGGTTCTTACGGACCTGTATTTATCGATTTTTTTTTTTAATGTTTCATTTATATTTATAAACCTATTAAGTGTTTTATTTTGAAAAGAAATATTAGAAGATAATCATAATTTCAAAAGAAGTTGAAATTAAATAATAAAAGAGACCCGAAGTAAAATTGCTTGTTGTCAAGCTTGAACAAGTCCGGATTCATATGAAACTGATCCTGATCCATTTAATAAGCTTTTTTTTTTTTTTTTTTTTACATATAATGAAAAAAAATACTGTTTATCTTATGCAGTTGAAATGGAGAAATTAACTTGCTTATACTCAATTTAGTTATAAAACCATATAACAAGCAATATTTTTTTTTATTTTAATAAAATTGTTATGCAGAGTCTACATGTATTACTTGTATATATCTACATATGTAGATTAGAAACTTTCGGTCGGGTTCAGTTTAATTTTGATCGGGTTAGTTAATACATTGTTGAGTCTTTTGATCAGCATGGACATGGTTTGATGGTATGATAATATTTTTACAGTTTCAATTTCTAAACTTTCCAGGAAAGTTTCCTGCATTTTGTACAATGGCTATTTATATGCCGTATATTTTCCCATGAATTTTTTTTTTGAAATTATGTTTTAAAATTCTGACCAGATTTCTGAGGAAATTTTTAACTGCCTAGGGTGAGATTTATGACAGTCTCAGTCTGAGACATATAAAACCAAGTCTCTGAATAAATTAGATTTTGTTGACTTGTTTGCATTTCTGCATTTATTTTTATCATAGTGTGTTCGGTACCACATAACATGCGAGAATACCTTCTCCAGTATTTGGAGAGAAGATAAGCAAGAAAAAAGGGGGTGAGAAAATGAGAAGTTGACAGATTGAAAAAGATTTTTTTCATTATCGAAAGGGACATGTACAACATCCATAATGGTAAGAAAAGACAATTATTTATAGTCATATTTATTTGTTTCTATAATGTTTCTTTCGATAACTTTTCACTCATATTGAAAAGCCAGCACTTGAGAATCTGTGTACTCAGGACCCTCCAGCAATGAGTAATTTTGTTCATGCCAGCACCTACTACAACATGGGACCTCAGTTTCATTTGAACACCGGTCTCCACATCCTGCAGTGGGATTTGAACCCGTGATGTTAGGATCAACTCCTTTATCTGTGCAAACACTTAAACCACTGCGCCATGCAAGCAGCTAGTCATACATGCATTCCTTATGATGTGAGCTAGCATTATGAAAATTTCATGTGCTGTAGATCATAGATTGCTACATAGTTCTTTGTATGTTGCACTAAAAAATATGGTGTTCATCAATGATTCATTTTGGTGTGCGCCCTGCGTAAATTATGCACAAATTTTGCTCAGGATGCATTATTTTAATAAATGTGCATCCCAATGGACTCAATAAATTTATATAAGAACGTGTATTATTTGGTATAATCTGATTCTAAACTTGACCGATTGCATCATATCCATGCGCTAAGCGATATGCATGAACAATTTTTACAGGTATATATAAGATTGCCAACAACAGGTCAGATTTCACAATTGCAGCCAATTAACCAGCAATTATCAGAAAATATTTGAAAGTTAGATAGCATAGTTCGATTATCACTGATTATGTCTATACTGTGGAACATTTCTGAAGCGAATACTATACCTTTGTAAAAGCTATACATGTAACCTGTATCATTTTTTTTTCCTTACAAGCTAAGAAGTTTAAAATTTAATCATTTTTATTTCTGTTTTTTTATTTCTTCTTAAAATTTCTTTGCTTCATTCTGCTTCTGTGCATTTTATGACTGATACATTACAATGTGTGAGATCGTATGTACAATCTAAAAATAGAACCAAAGTGCACAGTTGACAATACATGTATATTATATTTATGACACAAAATCATGTACTCTTACTTGGAAAATTGATAGTAAAATTATAAAACTACTCACAGCAACAATAAAGCATTTGCTCTTTCGTGCAATAACTTTTTTATATTTCACCAGAATTTCCTCTGTAATATCTAATATATGACCCTTGGATTTGGATGCACTGATTTTGTCATGGGACTCATTGTTGTCATTAAGGGGGGTCCTTTGGACCCATGATAACCATTTTCAAAATGAATCACTGGTTCATACATGTAGGTCTGGGACTAAAAGTTTATGAGGGCCGGCGTACTGTCTTAATATCACCCACCCATTATTGTCTGATCAGCATGATCAGTACTATTAAGCAGGAAAATAAATATTTTAAGAGACATACTGTAAAAATGATTTTGTAAGATCTTGCAGGGTTTGAAATTAACAGTCGCCCACTCGCAATTTGCGACTAATGTTCCCTGTGGGTGACTTAAAATTACATTCAAGTTGCCCACATGGCGATTAGAAAATATTTGTTTTTGAATTTTGTCCGAATATTTTGTATTTTTCTCTTGAAAAATTTTGTAATCACTAAAGTGCTTTATAATTACCAGTAAGAAGTACTTATACATAAAGCGTCTGAGTGATTGTGTCGGGCACAATGTGGCATCGACGGGTCAATGAGCCCAAGAAACCAAAATGTACCCTTGTTATTTGTGAATGAAAACGTGCCATGTGCTTATATATTATTGAATAACCATATCAGTCTTCAAAAACAGAAGAGTTCCACTTCAAATTTAGATAAGTCGTGCATAATGTTACAACGGATAGAAAAGAAACACAAAGCATATATGATAAAAAAAAAAATAACGAAAAATGGGGTTGTTGTTTTTTATTCAATAGAAGGATTGATAATTTGTGGGCAAATAAACTTTGATGTGGGCCCCAGAATTGCAAGGTTCAGTAGCCCACATGGCTATCAAGGATTACAATTTATTTTAAAACCCTTTGGAAAACATGTAATTTTGGAAGTAGATTGACATATAAGTATATAATTTTTTTTTGTCCCATTATCTGATTATTTTTCATACTTAAGTTTTGTTCAAGTATATGTCAGTGTTTGTTATGCTACAACGTTTTCTGGGTAATTTTCTCTATGGAATACCTTTTTACAAAATTTCTTCTTTTTTTAGAATTATTTATTGAATTTGCGAAATACATGTGTTCGACTTACAAGATATATGTGTTGGGTTATTGCTAGTTAGAACAATCTAACTGTGTCTCGGAACAAGCCCTCGATCACCACAGTTAGAATATGTCCCATATACTAGCAATGTAGCATACTGGAAAGGATCCGCTCAGAAATGATTTTGAAGAATACAAAAAAATTGCACTGAAAATAACTATCAAATTAATCATAACAAACCTTTCTGAGATTTTATATGCCTTTTAACCTAAAAAATAATCCATATAAAGAAGAAAATTCAACTCATTTTCTCCTCCTTTTTTCCTCGCTTCAAATTTACACGCCATGTTGAATTCGGAACTCTCTGGATTGTTCATAGAAAATGCAGTCAGTTCGAGTTATCGAACTTGCTTATTTTGCTACATTGCCAATACATGGAACGAATTCTATCGTTAAACCAGGTGTGTAGGACACTATCATTTTAATGATTAGAACGTTCTATCTAGGTTATTGAGATCACAGCAACAATATATAAACAAAATTAAAATTGAAATTATAATTCGCATCATCTCTTTTAAAAAAGAAAATATAAATTCATATTATTTTGTAAAACCAAAAAAATATTGGTTTAAATATACTGACAATAAAAAAAAAAAGAGACAATAATTCTCAAATTATGAATAACTTTAAAACATTGAGTGCACCTACAAGCACAGATCCCATGATTTGTAATATAATGCACACACAGGCATGTAAACTGAAGTAAATCAAACATGTAGATTTTCACTGATTAGCTAATATACATGTAGAACTAGTTTGAAACTAAATACGAGAATACAAAAAAAAAATAATTATTTTCCAAGCAAATAAAATGAAGAAATTAAAAGTTTTTGATTTTATTTTGATTTAAAAATTATCAAAGAATATTTAAGTCGAACTTCATGAAAAAGAAAAGCTGAAATCAAAATATTTGTATCAATTTAAATGTCATGCTTGATAAATTTTGGAAATACTGACAGATACACCCTTGCATAACACATATACATGACTAAAATTGTAAATTTTTAGAGACTTTGGATATGCATCGTGTCAAACTTTGTCTCATTTTAATATAAAATGAAAAAATTATAACCGATTTAAAATATTGTGATCTGTATTTTAGCATAAATATTGTGATACCTAATATAGTATATTAGATATAGACTAGTAGAAGAAAGTGTATTATCCCAGCCCTTTATATTTGCAGTGCAGTATAAAACAGTTCAATTATTTAAGGAATAACTGTCTAATTTTTTGGATTCATGATGTGATCAATCGAGTGGCTTGCGTGATAATTTGCATAAACGCCGAAGGCGTTTATGCATAAAATTATCACGCAAGCCAATCGATTGATCATCGTCATGAATCCAAAAAATCTGACAGTTATTCCTTATATTTACATGCTCCTGATTCTGGAAATTCCCATGCTAATAGCCCCGCTTCTGTCTCTATTTGTCCCGCCCCGCACGTGATTTTTTTTAACCGCGCCTATCGACGAACCAGTAGATTTATGTAGAAATAAAGTATTTTTACAATTTGTAATTTTATCTCGGACAAAGACATTGGAAATGTAAATATATAATAATGAAGTCAAGAGAATATGTAAATTAATAGATTTTGTTTTCATTTTTGCAGGAGTGTCTGATGGAATTTGTCATTTCATTAATAAATAATGCTGATAAAGATGCAAACTTAGCAATTGTGCCTAAGTGACAGCTTTGACAAGGAAATATATCCATATATAACAGTTACTGGTACTGTCTGAATGCAGTGAAAGGATCCAGATGAACGGATGAAGAGATTAAGTACAATGTACATCAATTACTTGGATGAAGAGAATCTGCAACATGGGGTAAGGTATATTTGCTGCTTTATTAGTTATAAACTGTAAATAAATTGTTAGCAGAAAATAGACACAAAAGCTTTAATTAAAGCAAATCAGGGGTACCGGTAAATACTAACTTTTAAAGCATGCAGATACTCAGTGATAGACTGATAGTTTGATAGTATCATAAAAACCAAAAGAACTTCAGTGACTTTGAATTCCTGATAGCCCTAGCTGTAAATGAACTAGTTGCCCATTACAGCCTTTGGCTGCTTATGGAGTAATGACTTGATTGTTGTGGGGGGGGGGGGGAGGAAATGAATTCCCAGTGGAGATGGGTATGAAGGTTAAAAATAGGGCCACAAAGAACCAGGTTATGGTGAGGCAGACTTGCCTCCTTACATTTTATTGTAATTATTTAACCCTTCACTCTTTATGAGTGAAATAATTCTCGAATGGGACATAAAACAACACTCAATCAATCGGTCACACTTCACTCGCTGTTCACAGCACTTGTTGCTTTGTACTGGGCACTACTGGCTCACTTAAGCAGGTTAAGTTCAGTTTGGTGTTTACTAGTCATTCCAATGATAAATAAGTCACTAGAACATTTTTTGTGAGTCGACTGCACACCAGTGTTACACCTAGGGATCAATTTACGTGGCATCTGTCTGTCTGTCCATCTGTCACACCTTATATCTCGAGAATTGTAAGAGGTTTAATTGTTTTTGATATTTGGTTAATATTTTGCTTGGCACTATGACTTTTTTAAAATACCATGGTTGTCAATCTTGTGACCCTTGAACTTACCTTTGACCTACTTATAAAAAAGTTTAAAGTGCCAATATTCAGCATATTTTTGATAATTTAAAAGAGGTAAGTCTATGCTATTTAGCATGTGCACAATTTTAACATAAATTATAATGAAAAATACCAGCATTACAGTTCACTTGACCTTGACCTTTGTTTTACTTTTCAAAAAATACTTTGAATGGTTAATTTAACTTAAATGTTTTGATTTTCTAGAAGTAGTGTTTTGATAATTAGCATTGATGAGCTCATGACACTCTACTTTGAAACTTTTTGATATCCAGTTATCACACAAACTAAAACTTAAATCCTATGAAAACAAATCGGGATCAGTATACCACAATGGGTCGTTATGTAGACTGACAATTGCAGTAAAGACAACCTGAAATCTCTTTAGAAAAAACTGTTGAAAAGATTGTTGACCATTATATGGTGACGTCTCTATTTTAGTGAAAAATTCTTATTAATAAACAGGATGTAAAACGACATACAATTAAACAATCAATCCAACTACTGAGTGGGCTTTCTAGCTTGTGAACTACCAATTATGTCCAATTGGAAGTAATATTTGAATGTTTTAAAATGTGATTGTACATTGTAGGAAATAATGTTCCTATAGAAAAGTCAAAGAATGTATACATGTGAGATTCTGAAGTAGCCGTACATGATGAGTAGGAATTTGAAGTGAATTATGGGAAAAGGTATGTAATCCATTAGTTTGCTTTAAAGTTAGTGATTTTAAATCTGAACACACCGTGTAAAAGGAATTTTTCCGCCATATTCCTTTATTCACGCTATATTGTAGGGTCCCTATATAAGCCACTCACTTAGTCACTGTTCAGTGTAATCTGTTGTCACCTGTCTGTATAGACAGACTGACGTATGCTACATAGCTCTTGGTAGCAACAAAAAATTACATAAGCCACTCACTTAGTCACTGTTCAGTGTAATCTGTTGTCACCTGTCTGTATAGACAGACTGATGAATGCTACATAGCTCTTGGTAGCAACAAAAAATTACTGTGTACTTCTTTCATGGCAGGAGAGAAAGATGCCAATGAAACTTACAACAGTTGCACAGGTTAGTGCAGTATACAAACATACACAAGTACACGTAACTGCAATAAAATAAATAAACAAAGGCAATGCAAGATAACCAGCATGAGCATGTGTCACCATTCCACTCCGATACCTGTGACAATAAAGCAGTCAGGTGTAACAAATGCGAAGAGTATACCCCGGTGCTGATATAGTAGATGATACATAATCGAATATGGTGTATGTCTATTTATGAGATGTGTTCAGCTTTAATTGATTGTTTTTCTCTGACAGTATGTACCATAGGTCATAGTCATTTATGGTATATGCAGTGGCACCATGTTTATCCGAACACTTCACCTTCCAGATGCTATTTTTCGGGAATAGATTTTTTCCATGTCATTCTGTCTCTTTAATCCAGAAATTCGTGTTCCGCATCCGGACGGTCGATTTCTACTACAAAACGTAATAGTTCATTGAAAAATGACTCATTTATCCGGACGGTAATTTTTCAAGAAATGACTTTTTCACACTTATCTTCAGGGGTTGAAATTTTCCTGGAAATCCCACTAGCCCAGGGGCTACTGATCAGGAAAAAATTACTAGCCCAAACCTCAAACCAACTAGCCCAACAATTTTTTTATGCAAAATGAAAACAGAAAGTTAAAGTTTTGAATGTTTTGGTGACAGAAACAAATTAAACTAGTTCTCAGTCAAATAAACCAGTCTTCATAGAAAAATGAAAGTAAACTGACGAGAATTTTTCTTCTGTTCTGCTAATCCGACAGACTATCGTTACGTTTGAATAAGCTAGCCCGAGTCTTAAAATGACTAGCCCCGGGCGTGGGGCTACCATATATTTCAACTCCTGATCTTGCAGTAGTGTTAATTGTAGTAAAAACATTGGCCATGCAGTCAGTTTGAAGGACTGGAGATACCTGTGACCTACAAACAATAGCGTCTAAAATTAGCGTGTATTTACCCCAATTAAATTACACGTCTATTATGAAGCTCAAAGAATTTAGCTTACACCAGTACACTATGCATTAATTAAATAAGAAATGGTTCAAAATTAATCCATATTATTTTTAACAAACTTAAGCCAAAGAGGCGTCCGGATAAACAAGGCGCCACTGTATATATCTATAATACATGCATATAAATGTACTTGCTATTAACAGTGAGTACAATAAAATTTTCCCATTAAGTATATTAGTTTTTTCTATGTGGTTTACTTTATGCCCAATTATCAGCAGTTTCCTTAATGGCCATATTTAAGTATAAGAACTAGGTTGCTATAGCAGACAAAAGGTAAATATAAAAATCTTGAGTGCAAGGTACTTTATCACTGATTGAATGTTAATTAGGGCCTGCATGAAATGTTAAAGCTATATAGGATTCACATTGTCCATCCTTATGTCTTTCAGCCAGCAATTAACACTTCAGTTGTGACACAATAAACAAGTTTTAATTTATGCAGTGTAATACTATACAGGGTATTGATGCATACAGTAAATGAGATCATTAGAATGGTGTATTTATATACTGTATATACTTGATATCAACAATTTTTCTTAGTGGTCTACTTTATGCCCGATTATAAGTGGTCTCCTCAATGGCCATATTTAAGTATAACATATGTATAAGTACAGGTTGCTATAGCAGACAAAGGTAAATATAAATATCTAAGTGCAAGGTACTTTATCACTGATTGAATGTTAATTAGGGCCTGCATGAAATGATAAAGCTCTATAGGATTCACATATTGTCCATCTTTATGTCTTTCAGTCCAGCAACACTTCAGTTGTGATACAATAAGGCCAAACAAAAAAATATGTGTGGTTCCGGTTACACTTCCAAAAAAATTAGGGTAGGTAGGTAGGGAATTTTTTTTTTTTTTTTTTTTTTTTTTTTTTTTTTTTTTTTTTTTTTTTTAAGCAAAATGATTTTCTTAATTTTTTCTTTAGAAATAATACCTATCACTGCTTTGCAAATGACATTTAGATGTGGTGTGATAATATACTAGTCAATATTGGTAGGGGACACCTAAATGTTAGTTTGCTTTGGATTTAACACTATTAAACTATGTTTTGCAAGGAGGCCGTCATTGCTGAAACTAAAACTTAAACTGGAGTCATTGATGGAAATCAGGGAAAATTTCGGAAAAAATATGAAAATTGCCAAAAAAAAAAGTTAAGGGTCGGGGGTATAAAATAGGGAAGGTCGGGTAACCAGAACCACACATATTTTTTTTATTTGGCCTAAATAAGTTTTAATTTGATATGCAGCATAATATAATACAGGGTATTGATGCATATAGTGAATAAGATCATTAGAATGGTATATTTATATACAGTATATACTTGATATCAAGGGTTAATTCAATTTACTGAATTTTTCTCACTGGTCTACTTTATGCCTAATTATAAGTGGTCTCCTCAATGGCCATATTTAAGTATATACATGTAAGTACAGGTTACCATTGAAGACAAAAGGCATATGCAAAACTCTAAAGACCATGATACTTTGATACTGATTGAATGCTGATCTGGACCCTTGAAAAGCACTTACTCTTAGTGTTATTTATATGACAATGTGTGGTTTGATATAAATTAACTGAATTACCTAGGTAACCATGGTAACATATTTCTATCTGTTTTTGTATGTTTTTGCATGAGCAAAGGCTTGGGTCATGCATAAACTTTTCACATTTTTCAACTTCTTCTCAAGAACTACTGGACCAGTTTAAATCAAACTTGACACAAAGTATCTTTAAAATAAGGATGGCAATGATTAACTGGTTTATTAACTATTGAGAGAGATCATAACCAGTTGAAATTTTCATAAACAGTTTTATAACCAGTTACAATTTACATACTAACCACTTAGTAGATAGTAGGGATGGCAATCGAATGCAGAATTGCGAATCGGTTAACCACAAAACGTTCCGACCGATTAAACGGTTAATCGTATCAAACTACACAATGTCATTTTCTTGACTTTTTTCAAGTAGCTCTATTCCTATGCACAAGAAGTCTTAAAAAAAGATGTTAGAGGTCAAAATCATTCTATTTGTCTTTAGTCTTGATCATAAAACTACGCGCATATTTTTTTTCAATAGACAAGAAAAAATTCAGAAAACCATGAACCATGCCTGAAATATTGTGGATAATTTTCCAGAGCGGATGTCACACAAGTTCATTCTTCATTATCACCATAATCAAAACTAAGTCTAAAATGTATCACTTAATTTACAATGTTTGTATTATAATTTAATGTGATAGATAACTGCAAAAGATACACACACCAATTCACGAAGCTCAACGGTGATTATTATCATTAAAGAATTAGAGGACAGTCGGGGGTAACGACATGATGTTTTAACAGTAATTACAGTGTAACATATCTCAGACTGACCAATTACCCCGCAATTTTAATCTGGAGAGCCATAATGACCTCCAAATCAGCCTAAATAAATAAATGAAAAATTAATGCTAAATTAAACGTTTAGGTAGGAATTTCTATTTTGAAAATGAATTTTAGTACATTGCTTTCAGTTTTACATATATTATAATTTTTTTCCGACTAATCGATTGCAGATTTTCTAACCGATTGCCATTGTTCCGACCGAGTAATTGGTTAAGCAGTTAGAAATTGCCATCCCTAGTAGATAGTTTTTGTCAATGAGTATTTGTATTTACTTTTTCAATAATATTTTCATTTTTTGAAATAAAACTTGTAACATGTTTCAAACTGAAATGTGACAATCAAGCAGTTACCATATCTTGCCGAATATAATATGCAGGTATTTAAGTATGCAAGTACAGGGGTGTCGGCAAGTATTTGACATTGGGGAGGCGAAGTGGATCGAAAAAAGCTGGGGGTGGAGGTCCTAACTAAATTGTTGTGACTTAAACTACTTAAATTTTCAGCCAAAATCTTGATATTTTTCCTATTAAGTCAATAGCCTAAAGGTATTTTCTGATTCAAAAAGAACAATTATTAAACATACAAAATAAATAAATAAAAATGTTTTATTTGTTTTTATTCATATTTCTTGTCATAAATATATACATATAAAAGCTGTAAGTTCATAAGAGAATCTCAGGCCAAATATACTTAATAACGAAATATTGTTAATTCCAGACCTATAAGGACCTCAGTTTTAAGTTACTATAAATGAAACAAAACCGGAAAATTCTTAAAAAGGATTTTTTCCCCCTTGAAACGGCAATTTCTCCGAAACTTAAGCGCGACGGTCACCTTAAACATAGGCTTTATGAAGAGATAAAGATATTTTTCTATTACTGTATAATATTTGTTTCTTGCCGAAAGAATGCAATTTAAAATGAACAGGCTGATTAATACCTCTTAACCCCTTCTATTTTTGAAATGCAGAAATACATGTATGTATGACATAATAGAAAAATCAAGTGAAGTTGTTTTAAATAATAATTTTGCCCAGTATTTTAGTATTTTCCTTTAATTCATACGCTCATACTTTGTAATATTATTTGATAATTGTTTAGTGATTCATCAAAGATTTCCAAACATCGATCGACCAATTGACATGATTGATTCTAATAGACAATGAACATGCCTGTTTTACGCGGGGGAAGGGGGAATAGGGGGAGTGCCTCCACTTTTTTTCTACTTTCAACACTTTTTTTTTCTGAGAATAATTTTTTGCTTAAAAAAAACTCCCACCCCCCTCGACACACACTGTTTGTTGCTGTAAGGTCGAACTCGGGCAGATTCCCGTTTTTGAAAAGAACAAAAAATAAGGAAATGTAGAGAACCCCCATCTCTCGCCCCGAAGAAATAGAATTTCTCAAAACATTGCTATAGCTGTGGGTCTGATGAAGAATTTGTAGCAAACCAGAACGTGGAGCGATGGATACCCTGCCTATTGTTTACACGTGCCAGGTATAGGTATATGTACTTGCGTCTTCGTAAACAATAGCTTTCACACTCTGCCGCTCCAATGACCACAGATTGCCATTATTCTTGCCGCTCCATTGACTACAGATATTGCCGTTACAAATTATGAAATTCTATATTTTTCATTTATTTTTATTTTTGTTTGTTTGTTTGTTTGTTTGTTTGTTTTTTTTTTTTCAAAATTATTGGGGCGGCGATCCCCGCCCCTGCCTCCCCTTTGCCGAAGCCCTTGAAGTACAATACTGTACATATAAATGCTTGTTCAAAATAAAGTTTTTCTCGTAATTTCAGCGCAATTCAACAGAAACCAAAAATTCAAGAACCTATTCGTAATTAATCTGATGTTTTTTAAATAGATTGATCGAAAGTACATGCAATATAATTCGTACTATATAAATGTACAGTGTTTAATTGATTTGTTACAAAAAAGAGCAATGACCATATCACCAATGCTAATGTAGTGGTAAATATTTTTGATATTTAATAAGTTCCACATTTTTTTTTCACAGTGAAATGGTAAAAAAGAAACTGCTAGCGCTACTGTGCAGACTACCATCAATCAACATGATCAACAAAATCAAGTAATCCTTCTGAGTAAGTGACCTGTAGTATTATCTGTTTTCACCTAGGCCAATATGAAAAGGATGAAAGTTATTATACTCAATACACAAGTTTGGAGATCATATCTCTCCAACAAGAGAAACACAAAAAGTAGCCATATCAGCGTGAAAGTGGCAGAGATTGTTGATAAAGTATACACAATCATGCATAAATAAATGTCAGAATGGCTTAATTAGGGCCTTTTAAAATGTATTTAATATTAAAGAAAGATTATACATGCATATTATGTCAAGCAATGATGATTTTGGTGATCATATTGAGCTATACTTTAGTAATACAGGTTTTTGGATGCTTGAGTCTCTGATTAACAATATATATGTAGTTTTTGGAGACCAGGTCTTCCAATAATCTGTCAGAATTCCCATGGGTACCAATTGCAACCTGTTATTAGGCTAGCAGACCTATATATTTGAATTTAGAAAGAGTTTGGCTATCAAAATTTACAAAAAAGTCATTTTGTGAAATTTTGACCTTAAGGGCCCTTTTCTCATGACGGCAGTCATATATATATATATATATATTATTTTGATTTTTTTTCTCTGGAAAACTGAGGCCACACTAAAGGAAAAAAGTTGTTATGTTTTGAAACATACATATCCTGATCAGAATACATCATTTGCCGAGAATGAGTGAAAAAACAAACTATTCTTGTTTAAGAAACTATTTTTGATATGTTCTTGGCAGAAAGTGTTATTGTTTTGTTTAAAACTAATGCAAGATATGAAAAAAAAAATGTTTTTATCTGAAATACTCACTTGCCCAATTGGACAAGTACATTGGCATTTTCACTTGCCTTAACTGGGAATTTACTTGCCCCGGGCAATCGGACAACAGTTAATGTCTATCCCTGGACTCTGTGGTATCTTTAAATTATCAAGCTCATTGGGATAATTGTGTTGAAATATGAATGGAAATAATTAATACCGTAAAGTCACGTGTATCGGACACACTTTTTTTTCAGAAAAATTGTTCAAAAGTGTGGATGCGTGCATTACATAGGAACTAAATTCAACCCCTTTTTCTGGACATTTTTTCTTAACTCTTATGAGTGATTTTCACTGTTATCACATTGTAAGTTTATTACATATTCCCCAATTCTTGAATGATAGTCACGTATGACAGATCGCTGGTAAATAAATCAACAAACAGAAATATAAAAAGATATATCCATTAAAATGATACTATTCAAAATTAAATATATATATATATATGTATATTTAAAATAAATGATCTTTTTCTAACTTGGATATCATCACTGCCAAATTTAACTCCTCTCGACCCTAATGTAGGTCATATTTGTTTATATAATAATTTCCGGCCATTTGGTTTTGAAACAACTGCCATTTTAAACAATACACTTGTAATCAGTAAAGTTTATTTAATGATAAATATTTTACACACCTTTTTAATTACCTGGTATCACTTGTATACATAAGTGTGACATTAATTTCGCTTGGGATGATTTGTTTACGTAAACACAGACACCTGCTTGGAATGCATTTTCAGCACAATATCGTAAAATGCTTAGGGTTATAGGGGAAAAAAAAAATATAAGGGACTTAATTTTTAATTTATACCAATCAAATAACAATTAAAATACAGACTATACTTAAATACTTATAAATAAAGCTTATATGTAAACTGAATTTTCCAAGAAAATTAAAAGTTGTATCCTACTTTCCTTTTTGAAATAATACGAATATTTTAACTTTTTAAACTTTTTCTTTGGAATAGTTGTGCTGTGAAAATAAGAGATGCGTCCGCATTTTTGGGGTAGTGTTTTATCCATAGGAACTGCATTTTTCTCAGGATTTTCCCCCCAAATTTGGGGGTGTGTCTTTACAAGACTACGCCTTTACACGTGACAATAGGGTACTTCGTCAATACATCTAAATGTTAAAGGCAACAGCATGTATTTTCTTCTTCTCGTGTATAAGATTTTAAATAAATTCTGCTTTGTATGAATACCAAAATAGGTTTGATAATAATGGAGCACAATTGGTACCTATGGAAATTCCAAGAGATTTTTGGAAGACCTTGTCTCTAAAAACCACATAGATATTGTCAATCAGAAACTCAAGAATCTTTTTAATATCAACTTCAGAGTACTTGTGTGTACAATCAGTGTTTTTTACAAATAATTTTGCAAATGACCAATGACAAGATAAGTTAATTTTTGAGTTCCACTTTTAATGAAAAAGCAGCTGTCAATAAACAAATCTCTCATCCATACAAAAAACAAAAAAGCATACCAAGGGTGATAATCTCAAAACTTAAGCATTGATCTGTTTGAAATATTTTTTTTTTATTGACATACGATTAAGGATAAACAACAATACTTGATATCGCGATTACTTAAATTAGCCGAACTCTTTCACGGAGGTAGGAAACGTCTGTTGGATGGGGGCAGTGTACTATTGAATGCAATACATGATCGATCATTGTGGAATTTATAATGACTGAAAAGAAAGAAATCCTAGAGAAATATCTTGCTAAACATGCACTGAACCAGCCTTATAAATTTTTGAGAGGAGCTAGTCCTATATGTTACATTTTTTACGATACTTTTTACTAAGCGGACTTTTCTTATTAAATTCTAAATGAAAATCGTTACTTTTGAAAGTTGATAAAATACTCTAAACTTTCCTTATTTGACAATCTACTATTTGGAGTTCAACTCTTGGCAATACATTGTAGTTTCGGCATAATGATTGTTCGAATCATTCCATTGTCACCACTGTAATGTTATGCCCCAGAAATCTTGTGAGATTTAGAGCTTCCTCGACTCCCATGCTAAAGAGCGGTTGTAAGTTAGATAACTGCGAGATACTCGCAATACTTGCAAATACTGGTACTGTTAATTCAATTCACATGTGCTCACTTTTGAAATGCATTCACAATTCTTTATAAAGTTGGTGACATTGTGTATGAAAATATCTAGTCTAGTTTCATGTTTAAACTATGCTTGTGGTATGCATTTTTTTTCTTGAACAGTAAAGGAAGGGATGAGAGAGTTCATTGAGTGCCATAAACTTTCATTTGTATGTTATTTTTTAGAGATGGAGTAGTACACAAGCACAATTTTTTAAAGAAAGAAAAGTCAATGGAATGAAAGCCAAAGAAAAGGTGAAGTGAATTGTCACTCATTATATTTTAAATTTAATGTGAACATGGTCATTATTTTAGTTATGTCATAACCTTCTTATCAATTTTAAGCAGTGCAGACAGATGCATTTCTTATTGCTTTGAATAGAATAAATTATCAAAAAACTTTGTATATGTTTTTTGTTATAGAATTTAAATTTAAAAAAAAACAAATTATCAATTATTGCAGTTTTGAATTTCAGTACACTAGAAATTTTCTACCCTGCCATGAATATGGCTGGGGCATATAGAGTTTATCATGTCCGTCTTCCGTCCTTCCAACCTTCTGTCTGTCCTTCCATTCCACTTTGCCTTTAGCTCAGTTCAAAACTAAGTTTCAAAGAAACTATTCAAGATATTTTTATCAATCTTCATATGCTGATACATATTGATGAGAGGTATTCAATTTCATCAACATTTTTTTTACCTTGACCGTTCCTTTAACTTTGACCTCACTTTTCTTAAATAAGTGTTTAGCTCAGTTTTAAAGAAACCATTCAAGATAGTGTAATCAAACTTCATATGCTGATACATACTGAATCAACATTTTTTTACCTTGACCTTTCCTTTGATCTTGACCGTACTTATCTTAAATAAGTGTTTAGCTCAGTTTTAAAGAAACCATTCAGGATAGCGTAATCAAACTTCGTTTGCTGATACATACTGATGAGAGCTATTTAACTACATCAACATTTTTTGATCTTGATCTTTCCTTTGACCTTCACCTCACTTTTCCTAAATTAGTGTCAAACTTCATATGCTGATACAGACTGATGTAAAGTATTCGACTGTATCAACATTTTTGACCTTGACATTTCATTTGACCTTGACTTCATTTTTCTTGAAATAGTGATTAGATTAGCTCAGTGTTAAATAAACGGTTTCCATTCAAAATATTTTTATCAAACTTATTTTGCTTATGCATATTAGTGAGAACTATTCAACTGCATCAAAATGTATGACCTTGAACTTTCCTGTGACCTGGACCTCATTTTACTTAAATTTGCATTTTGCTTAGTTTTAAAGAAACCATTAAAGATAATTTTATGTGAGCTTATGCACTTAACAGAATTTGGTGAGAATTTATCATCTATATCCAACTTTTTCGATTTCAATGTTAAAGAAACTATTTTAAGATATTCTCATCAAATTTTATACACTAATATGCCCACATGGTGCAGTGGTTAAAGCTCTAGAGTTGCGGAGTAAGGAGTTGATTCTTATGTCACTGGTTCGAATCCCACTGTGGGACGTGGAGACCGTATAAACAGAGGTCCCATGTCACAGTAGGTGCTGGAACGAAAAAGATCCCTCACTGCTTAATGGCCCTTAATGCCGAGTATAGGTCAAAATTTGCAGCTCTCCACCGGCAAGTGGTGGCGTCTCCATATGAGTGAAAAATTCTCGAGAGGGATGTTAAACAATAAACAAGTAAATAAAAATTAATATACCCTCAGCGGGGCATTCATGTCCTATGGACATATTTCTAGTTTTGCCCTCTTTTACATTTGTACATGGATATACTTTTTATTTTTGCTCTGTAAACAACAACAAAAACATTATACCATATGATATGCACAAAATTATATGCTAGGAATGTATTGTGAAAGATGCATTTCAGCTGACAAATGTAGCATCTTTAAGCCAGCTTTTTAAATTTTTTTCTGAATGACTTTCAGGTACTTCTCTTATATTTGCAACTCATTTATAGGGATGTATTAGTATGGTAGCCTGTCTGCCAACACCTTGTAGATGAGATTCTAGCACAAATTGTGTGAAAAGGTTCTCTTAATTGACATGAGAAGGTCACCATTTTTTATCAAGATAAAAATTACTTGTATGTCTTGTAATAACATTATTTAATATATCCCTTTCATAGCACACATGTTTCTTTCAAAGAGAAGAAAGCATTTATATTTTTTCAAGGTCAGTAATCTCATGGATGAAATGCAAACTGTACTATTTGAAATAGGTGGTATAGGTATTTCAGAGTCTGTATTACAGCTTGCCAGTTTATTGTTGGAGGGAATATTCTCATCAAATAAACTTTGTAAAGATTTGCTTTTTAATGCGAAGTATTTTTATAAGTAATAACTTCATTTCAACTTACCATGAACAGTTAATCAATGCATCTCACTTTGTATCTAATGCATTTTTAGAACACACATTTGTGGTTTAAAACATGTTGTAATAGTTTAATAATGCTATTCATTTTTTTTAATTGACAAGAAATGAAAATGTAATGATTATTTCAAAATAGTGTTTTATTCCTCTTATCTATATGTATATTTATAGATATGTAAAAGATTGTTATTTTTATTGATGTTATGTTTGTGTACAAAATGCTAGTTATTTATTACTTTATACAAAACTAATGTTGTGAAGAAGTCCTTATGCATATATTGAACAGTATACAAATGTCACCAATGTAATACACATTTACAAATAAAATGAAATTTTACATGACTTGCACATATTTGCATTATTTGTTACAGTTATAACAAATCTAATTCATTGTATTTATGGTTTCCAATTTTTATTGTCTATTCAAACATGGAAAAATTATATGTGTAATGATGTTAAAGACACAAGAATATGAATTAAAATAAGACTGTATGAACTACCTTTAGATTTATGAATTCAGTAGACAGTGACTGTGACAAATGTGTATTTAGGATAGAGATCTTAGACATGAGAAGAAAAGGGGTTGTTTTACAAACTTTTTTTTGCATGGGGAAATATTGACATTTTTATACAACAACAAATGAAGTTACTGGAATTGTGAAGTCTACGTGTCTTCTGTGAGTAGACATCGTTTGAAACAAAGGTAGCTTGTGGCCAGAAATATTCTTGACCCAGTAGTAACGGTCTTTTGCACAAGGTCATAGTCACTGTATATCAAAGTATTAAATACTTACCAATAATTGTTTGTAACCTCAGAGTATGGTCCTAACACAGGTTAATACAGGTCAAGGCCATAGGGTTTAGAAATGTAATAAATATTCAAATAAACACATAATTCTGTTTGTTTATTTGTTTGTTATACATCCTTTAAGAATTTTTCAGTAGTATTGAGACACCACAACTTGCTGGTTGAGGGCTGCAAATTTAGACCTGTACTTTTGAGCAGTGAGAGGTCTTTTCTTGTCCCAGCATATACTGCAACAAGGGAATTTGGTTTCATTGGAAGAACCGGTCTCCACGTCCTTCAGTGGGATTTGTACCTGTGACTTAAGGAACAAGTCCTTACTCCACTACTCTAGAGCAAATGCTCTGACCACTGCGCCAAGCGGGCAATCACATTATTGTTATACTCGATGTAAATCAAGGCAAAGGGATAATTGTGACTTGGGGATGTATAACAACCCTGCATCAAGTTCAATTTTTGTCCACTATAAAATAACTTTCAAAGATTATATTATCCTAGGGTTCATTATGCTCAGAGTATATGACATAAACTGGATATATAAAATTCTAAAATACATTTTTTTTTAAGAAAAGTACAAGGTTATAGTTTCAATAGGTCATATCTAGCATGTACAGGTGATTGTGGCTTAGATGATGATTCTATACCATAAGTCATCATGTGAGTACGAAGTTTTAAATCAATGTGTTTCTTTGGTGGTGGATGAAATATTTTCTTAACGGAACAATTATTATCGGTCATTTACTATATTTCCATAAGATTCAGGACATGAAAATTTGTCTACCAATAGACATCACCCTATTAGTTCCTTCTAGTTAAAATAATGAATCATCATACTGGGTTTTAATGTGCCTAATATTTTACTTAAGATAAATGCAAATTGACCAATAAATACTGGTATGAGAAGTACATTTATGCATGTGTAGTTTTTTATTTAAATAATTAGAAAAAAGAAAATGGTCTACATAATCATGTATATATATATATTATGGTCCCCTTTATGCATCATATATACTTGGTCTACTTTAACCCTTCGGGATCCTCATAAAATATATACATGTCTACCTAAAACCTCCAATGTATTTACAAAATATTAAGGAGACCAGAAATGTCGTATATTTTTCAGGAAGCAACATTTAGGGCTGAGGGGGTAAAATTTTCATTTTTGAAGCCTATTAGAATAAATTTGGGTGAAAGTGTGAATCAAAATGTCTCAAATAAAAGAAATGAAAAATGTCTACTTAATGCCTCAAAATAAGTGCGGTCTACTTTATGCCAAAGTCCACCTTATATATATATATATATATATATATATATATATATATATATCATATTAACAGTAAGGACTTACATTCTTCCCGGTGTGTCAAACATACGTACATTTCAGATGCTATCATTTGTTTTAAATTTTAAACAAAATTATGATTTTTCTAGCAGAACTAAGAATAGATTACCCATGAGTTTGGAAGGCAAATGAGAGATTGTCATTAGTCTGTATTTCTTGTGTGTTTCTTAACGGTTGTCAGAGAATAGAAAAATATATTTGTACACAAATTAACTTGCTAAATATTTCTTGGGTCAGAGAAAAATTAACTTTTGATGTTTGTGTTTCAGGAAATAAAGGTATGTAGTTCTGTGAAAAAAAAAAAACAAACAAACAATAAAACGACAAACTGAACACTTTACGTAAGTCACTTACAGATCCTATTGTTGGGATCATTACAAAATTAATGTAAACAGATTCTGACCACTCTTCCATAAGGTTGGATACCGGTACTCGGTACCAATACCGTACCGAATAGTTACTTCAAAAATACCGCTAAAATCCGTTTCATTTAATACCGGTACTAATAACCGTACTATTTCTTGACCTTAGAAACATTTTAATACATTCAAAATGATTTAAAACTTGCTAAAATAGAATTCTCCGCACATTGAAAGGGTAGGCTAATTAACAAAATGGATGCTTAGTATGACTTTTCACTTGCTTTCGACTGCCGATATTCGAGGTAAATCAGTACGTATTTCTCTTTTATAAAAAAAAAATGAATACATTAAAATAATCGTGTTTTAACTTAATTAATAAAAACTGAGAATAAATGTAAATTAAAAAGGCAAAATGTCGCAAAAATGTGATGTGCATTTCTATCCATCTCCTAATGTTTCGTTGTTTAGTGCGACCAAACAAAATGGGTCCTAGCAACCACGGAAGTTGTGTATACTTGTGATTATGTATCTATTCAAGTTAATTTTGAGATTCAATTTATTTGTTTTGTTAGTAATTTATTAAAAGGTTGAAATATAAACATAGTTTATAAGCTCGCTTTCGGTTATATAACATTGAAATGTTGATGATTGGTGAAAGCATATTTGTTATGAAATGAACCCTTATTCTCATTCATCAAGTCAAGGTATAGTACCGTATCGTTAAAAATACCGTATCGTTTCAAAAATACCGGTATGGTATCGTACCGTTTCATCCTTAACGGTATCCAACCCTACTCTTCCAGTGGTTATATATATATCAAGCACCCTCATTTGTGCCTTGTATCCTTGAGAAATTGTGTCTACAATTTACTGAATGCGAAATTTTTATGCCCCTGGATCGAAAGATCCAGGGGATTTATTGTTTTTGTCCTGTCCGTCTGTTGTCAACTTTAACCTAGCCCATAACTATTGCGCTGTCAAGGATAAGGCTTTAATATTTGGCATGAGTGTTCATTATGACAAGACCTTTCCATTGGTACAGAAATTTTTGATTATGTGACCTCAACTGTGACCTTTGACCTACATTTGAAAAACTTTGGCCATAACTATTGCACTGTAGTCTACGTCCCACTCCAGAATTGTTTACCATGCATCGGGTGCATAGTGTTTCACAAACACATCTTGTTATTTCTGTTTATAATGTTTTAGAATGTAATATGTAATCAGCTACAAGAAAACAAATAAAGACAATGGAATTCTACAACTTAATGACATCATCCTACTAATATTGTAGATCCAAAAAGACTCTTTAAAAATTTAGAATTTTAGCACATTTTCCACAATTTTTTTGATAAAATGTACCTCCATAAAACTCTTTTTTCCTGATGATTATTAAGTACATTATGTACCGTTAATTTTTTTTAAATTAATTAATTAATTAATTTTATTTGAGTGAATAGTTGAACTGAACTTATACTGACAGGATGAGGCAAAGACGCTTCAAGTTATAGAAGTCGACATTTGCCCGAAAGACCAATCATCATGGGAGAAGGCATCACATGACTTCAACTGTACTACTCCAAACAGATACCAGTGTACTCCGAATGAAAATCTAACAGCACTACTTGAATACTGTTATGATCAACCACCCACTTTGGTCGAGGAAGGTATTTCATCAACAAACCTTTTACAAAAGGGACACTTATTCTTATTTTACAATAGGTTTCATCATTTTACTTTTTCTAAATAAACACATTTGATAAACATGGCTTCAGAGATCGTGTCTGATTTGTCATGTAGAATCTGTTAATGATGTTGCGCTTTTAAATTAGGCCAAATAAATGTAATAGTATGCATTTACAGACTTTTCAGGTTGTTCATATGGTATGTTATTAAACGTAATAAATCTCAATAATTGTTTACATGTATGAAACATATAATTTATTACACATGTTAATTCTAGATACCCCGGGATTGATAAACAACGATGATCGCAGAGAGGTTTTTCCAATGTCTGGTTCACATTGTAATACACATGTATATTTATTCCTTTCCGTATCGGTTCTTTTAACACGTGATAAATGAACAAGATTGTTATGTTTAATCCGAAAAAAGTACATTGATTACAGATAGACAAGCACATTGGCTTTACAACGCAAAATAATTAAAATCTAACCTAAAAAAAGCAGTCATTTTGGTCATAAGTATAGGTATATTGAAAGGTTTGACACATGTAATAAGTTATTTTTGCCGCGAAAATTTTCCGCATAAAAGTTTGTTATAATTTCATAAATTTTAATAATAAAAACTTACACTCTAAATACCTAATTCACAGATTGAATATGGTTTTTATATATCTGAAGCTATATATAATGTCATGTTCGTCCATCTCTTTAAAAAGTAGAGGTTCAAGCATAACAAGCTTATATATTTGTAGGTTATTGTTGGATCTTATTAAATTCCCATTTCACTGACACATACAGTTGTGCTGGATTCACAGATGGATGTCCAAATAAAACCTACAGAAGCAACGAACTTTATAAATGTTTGTATAATTGTTTTGGTGGTATCTTAGATGCTATTATTTCTATAATTGCTCTAAGAAATGCTGGGAATTGTAAAATGTTCACTGTATTTTTATTTTGGATTTTTAGAAGCTTGTTTAAGGTCATGTTACATATAGGTCACTTTGACATTCATGTTTTTTTTTTACTTTGCACTTAGAAAAACATGTTTATCAAGTACAAGCTTTTTGATAAGCTTTGAGCTTAAGATAACATTTTCTAGCGACTTTAATCTTGGGTCAAGTTTACATGTATAGCATTTTTATCATGTCAGTATTTCAACACTGAATAAAATGTAGCTCAGATAAGAAAGGTTTCAAAAGCATTCCTACTCATATTTTGTGATTGCTAGGATTGAAACTTTGCATGTTTTACTCTAAATAGTTCCAGATGATGTCATACAAAACATACACGTGGATGAATATAATTTACGAAGGAAATTAAAAATCAAAAATATTCTACTTTAACAATCGTTATTTGGCTTTCAATTTCTTTTTTTGTTCATGTATTGCAGATCAGGAATGTCTTCTTCTTAACAAATCGGAAGGATGTTACTTGGCTGATGCAAAATGCACAAGCCGGGGGTATAAACAATAATTTAATCAAATTAGGTTTTCTTATTTCATAAAAATCTTCAGATTAATGTACTGGACCAAGTGCATGTTTATGTTTTCAGTTCTTTTCATTTTTTTAGGAAAGTGAAAACAACACCATCTACAATAAAACCATTACCAGATGATAGTTCTTCTTTAGAAATGTTAATTGGAGTAATAATTTCTTGTGTTCTTATCATTATCATCGTCCTTATTGCATCAATATTTATAGCAAGGAAATTTAGAGGTATGAAATATTAAATAAAAATTTACTAGATGGATAGATAGGATGGATGGATGAATGAATGGATTGGTGAATGGAGGTATAGATAGGTGAATGGATTGATGGATAGATAGATGGACGGGGAGATTGATTGATGAGTGGATGTCATTTCTCTGGGTGACTTGTAACGAAAATCAAATATTTCAATCATGCACAAAATGTTATTTGATTACTTCAATATCATTTAATATTTTTTCCTTTGAATTACAGTTTGTAAAAGTCACGAGAGCGGTCATGGTGAAGAACACTGTTTGCTTTCGGGTGATAAAACATACTTTCATACATTGTTCTTTTTTGAAACTATAACTTGTTAATTCACTTATTTTGATAGAAATATCACTTTATCACATTTTTTAGCTCACCTGAGCTGAAAGCTTAAGTGAGTTTTTCTGATCACATTTTGTCTGTAGTCCATCTGTCTGTCCATCTAGCTGTCCGTCTGTAAACTTGTAACATTTTCGACTTCTTCTCCAGAACCACTGGGCCAATATCAATCAAACTTGCCACAAAGCATCCTTGGGTTAAGAGGGTTCAAGTTTGTTCAAATGAAGGGCCACGCCTTCTTCCAAGGGGAAATAATTAAGGATTGGTAAAAATTTGATGTTGTCTTTTAAAAATCTTCTTTTCAAGAACCTTTGGGCCAAAAAAGTTGAAACTTATCTGAAACCTTCAGTACATAATGTAGATTCAAGTTTCTTCAAATCATGACCCATGAGTGTAGGGTGGGGCCATAATGGGGGATCAAAGTTTTAAATAGGAATATGAAGAAAAAAATCTTTAAAAATCTTCTTCTCAAAAACAACAAAGTCACAATTAGTCATATTGATATGGAATCATCCTCAGGTAGTGTAGATTCAAGTTTGTTTAAATCTTGACCCCGGGTGGTAGGTTGGGCCATAATGGGGGATCAAAGTTATACATAGTAATGCATAGGAAAAATCTTCAAAAATCTTTTCAAGAACAGGAAAGCCATGATCAATCATATTGATATGGAAGCATCCCCAAGCATTGTAGATTCAAGTTTGTTCAAGGAATCCTCCAGTAGTAGGGTGGGGCCACAATGGGGGATCAAAGTTTTACAAAAGAGCATAATTATTATATAGGAAATATCTTTAAAACCTTCTTCTTAAGAACAAAAAAGCCTTCATTAGTCAAATTGATATGGAAGCATCCTTAGGTAGTGTAGATTCAAATTTGTTCAAAGCACGAATCCCCACCCCCATAGTAGGATGGCAGACATCTTCAAAATTCCGTTTTCAAGAACAGCAAAGCCATGATTAATTATATGAACATAGAAGCATCCTCAGAAAGTTAAGGTTCACTTTCATTCAAAACATGGCACCTGGGGGGTAGGGTGTGCCTAGAACAGGCGATCAAAGCTTTACATATGAATATATAGGAGAAGAAATCTGCTGACGAAGAACAACAGGGCCATATTGACTCAGGTGAGCGTTGTGGCCCATAGGCCTCTTGTTTGCTAACTGTGTTTAACCTATTGAAAACCATTACTTCTACATGTTACTGTTTTTTTTATTCAGATGCATTTCTTTTGATTTTAATTTATAATTTCGCTAATACGTTCACGATGGTATCAAAACATACTTATTTTTTTTTAACAAATATACACGTTAATCATGATGGAAACACAAAGACATTTTTTTATTTGCTCAGAATCTGGAACTCATTAACCTGCTTTGCTTAACATGTACGTATTTATTGAAAATAAAAAAGTAGCTATGTTTTCAAATCAATAATAATCATTTTGGTTTTTATGTTAATTGCTTTTCATTCAGAACATAAGGTAGAAGCAGTTGGGGAAAATGTTGTGTTGCGATGTCTACTTCCTATGAATCACAGGATCATTCAAACACGGAATATTATATGGTCAAAAGATGGAAAGAAAATCAACTTTAAAAACGCAACGGAAAAATACAGTTTTGCCGAGGATAAGCAAGCCCTTGTCGTTAAAAATGCAGGTCGTCTTGATTCTGGGGAATACGTTTGTTGTATTAAATACGCATGCAAATGTAATGGGATGGATGAGAAGAATACATTTATTCTAGGTATTTCTATTTTATGTTTGAAGTACACAATATCTTGAAATAAGTAACTCCTATATCAAAATAGATGTTCATGATCCTCTGTGCTTGTACTAAATCTTGGAAACAGCAGCGTATGCTAAAAGAGTGCCACTCTAAATTATCGTCTTATTCACACAGGCACACACCCTCCCACACACCCACACGCACGCGCCCTTTTAAGATCCAATCATTTTATGATATTTATTAACTTAAATTAGAAGGTTTATTTATGTTCTTACGAGTTCTGTGAAAGATTTAAGTTTGATAAAAGCAGATACGAAACCATTTTTCATGTCAGCAAACATTTAATTTGGGGAAAAAAAACTTTACCAATGTGTTGTACATGCATGTATCGTTGTCATTATTCCTAATAAAAATCTTTATGTAATTGAAATTTAAATCATTACATTTTTAAATGTGTGAAATTTGTGGTAAAGATGTTTTCTAAATTTGTGGTAAAGATGTTTTCTAAATTTGTGGTACAGACGTTTTCTAAATTTGTGGTAAAGATGTTTTCTAAATTTGTGGTAAAGATGTTTTCTAAATTTGTGGTAAATATGTTTTCTAAATTTGCTTCCAACAGACAAAGGATTCCATAACTCGATGGATATAATTTTATAATTTGAAATTGTGCTATGGATACTACATGTTAAATTTTGTCTACAAAGTGATTAAAAATTCTTACTTTTATAATTTTTCCATTTGATGACGGATTTTCTTATTGTTTTGTGGTGAAATACCACGTTTGGCAATTGAGGTAAATGATAGAATAAAATCGTATCTACAAATTTTAACAGCATTTGATATATTTCTGTAAATGCATTACCTATATTTTGACACTTACAATGAAAGAAAGGCAAATAATAATACTATTTTTGACTATAACCTTGACATAGAATCTTAATTTTTGAACAGATATCTGGCGTAGGCTTCCCAATTGAAAATCGTTCATCTGTTTGTTTGTTGTTTTTTTTTTTTTTTTTGTTCGTTCGTTCGTTTGTTTGTTTGTTTTTTTGTTTGTTTTTTTTTTTGATAGTGTAAAGTGAAAATAAATGATTCTGCCTATTATAGGCTTGTAAGGTTTAACAGGTTAAAGCGTACTACACTTCAAAATTCCCCTTTTCGGCAGAGGAAAATTATAGTTTAGCATTTGAAACAACTAATTTGGATAGGTAATATTCTCCTTTCATTATTTTATAAAAATTACACACATTCATGATCTCTTAGATGTTATAATCTTAAGAAAGAAAGTGTATTAAAGAAAAAAAAAATCTTGTATATAACAGACCTGGGCTATCTGGCGAAAAACAATTCACTACAATGTATAAATTTATTACTTCTGAACATTATGATCAATTCAATTATTTATTTATTTATTTATTTATTTATTTATTTATTTATTTTTTATGCATGAAAAAATTCAATATTGTGAACACGAGCATCATTTATAAAAGACATTCATAAAATGATATTGTTATCATAGTTTTATATGTTACATTATTTCTAACATCACGATTTTTGCAAGATATAATGACGACATTTATCATATTACTTTTTCCTAAATAAGTTCTTCACGAAACAATAAGGTTTAATAAGGTTTATTTACACCCTCAATTTCCAAAAATCTTCATGAAATGTGAAGGTAACGAACAGTGGTTATTCTCAAAAACTCATTTAAGCAATGCAAATTATGAGCATGACCAACTCAGACCCTTAAAAGCAGAGGTAGGATCAGGTGCCATAGAGTAATAAGCATCCTTTGTCGACCAGTCATACCCGACGTGGAGTCCTTTTGATATTTTGATTAATTATATTGACAACTTTCATATCTTGATTTGCTATAGGAAAAATAATTTACTCATTTACTCACTATAGAATAAACTTTAATATTAATTTTTTTTAAAGACTTTGGATTTGTTCTTCACCATATATAGTTAATTATAGTACACAGTTGTTTTGTTTACTAAACTAAGTTCAATTAAGTATAATGTAGTTTAGAAAACTATCAACATATTCACTTCGAGTATTATAGTAAATACATGTGGAATGGAATTTGATTTAGTATAGAAAAAAGTTTCAATTTTTAGGTCACCTGAGTCACTCAGGTGGCCCATTGCTATCTGTTTTCGTCTGTCGTCGTTCGTCTTAAACTTTTGAACATTTTTAGCTTCTTCTCTGGAACCACTGAACCAAATTCAACCAATTTTGGCATATAGCATCTATGGGTGAAGGGGAGTAAAAATTGTGAAATCCACGGCCCCTGAACCCCTGGGGCATGAGGGTAGGGGCTAAAACCATCAAAATTAATGCAATCTTTAAAAATCTTCTCCTTTACTTCTGTACATCAATCAGTCAAACTGTTGGCATGATTGTAATAAGCATTGAGCTCTCTACCAAAATTCTGAAATTCATGGCCCTAGGGCCAGGGGTTCTGGTGCTAGGGCACATATAAAAATTATATAGTGAAAATGCATTAATTCTTTAAAAATGTTCTCCTCTGCTCCTGGGTATTAAGCCGATGAATTAAGTACCTAGTTATAATGAGCAAGAGTGCCTCTTCCAAAATTGTGAATTTCATGGCCCCAGGGTCAGGGGTTCTGGTGTTAGGGCAGAGCTCTAATGATTATATAGTGAAAATGCATTAATTCTTTGAAAATCTTCTCTTCTGGTCCTGGGTATTAAGTCAATGAATTAAGTACATAGTTATGATGAGCAAGAGTGTCTCTTTCGAAATTGTGAATTTCATGGCCTCTGGGTCAGGGGTTTTGGTGTTAGGGCGCGGCGCCAATGATTATATAGTGAAAATGCATTAATTCTTTGAAAATCTTCTCCTCTGCTCCTGGGTATTGAGCCGATGAATTAAGTACATAGTTATGATGAGCAAGAGTGTCTCTTTCGAAATTGTGAATTTCATGGTCCCTCTTGGTGAGGGGTTCCATGTGTGTGTGTGTGTGGGGGGGGGGGGGCTGCTTATTTTCTACATACGGAAAATAAATGAATGCTTTGAAAATCCTCTCTGCTCCTGGGTATTTAGCTGATGAACTAAGTACATAGTTATGATGAGCAAGAGTGCCTCTTCCAAAATTGTGAATTTCATGGCCCCTGGGTCAGGGGTTCCATGTTTGGGGGGGGGGGGGGGGGCTTATTTATTATATACTGAAAATAAATTAATGCTTTGAAAGTCTTCTCCTCTGCCCTTTGGTAATTAATTAAACAAACTAAATACATAGTTATGATGAGAAAGGATGCTTCTTCCATAATTTTGAATTTCATGGCCCCTGGGTCAGGGGTTCTTGAGCTTGGGTGGGGTTCTAATGATTAATTAGCAAAATGCATTAATGCTTTGAAAAACATCTCCTCTGCCCCTGAGTACTAAGCAAACAAGCTAAATGCAATAATATCAATGTAAATACTTGTATTAAATTTAATTATAAGTAAATGTGCCTTTTCTTTGCTTGTGGGTATCTAGGAGGCAGAGTACACAATTGTGATGTGAAGCAAATGAGAGTTACTCCCCTTTGCTAAATATTGTTAATCAAGAAATCCTTGTATATAATTTAATTAACAGGTTATTTGATTGAATGAGAATACAAGAAAGAATTTTATATATAAATGGAAACAAAATAAAAATGAATGTTTGGTTTAAATGAGCAAAGTATGCTCAAAGTCAGATTCTTGCCTGGAAAGCAGTATAAAAGATTGACATAAAGATTATTAATATATTTAGCAAAAGTTGTAATTGTGCACAGTATGTATACACTGTGGTGATCTAAGTTAGTGTCACTTGTAGAGGAGTTGTGGTTGACAGGAGACTGAATGTTGTTTTATACCTTATCAAAGTGAACAAAGAATCACAGAGAGCCAGAGTGACTTATTGTAATTAGTGACAAATGGCAAATAACCACGTTGTATATATCCAAGTCTGTGTGTTCTGAATTGTAGCACTAGGCAAGTGACAAAAACATATCTGTATATATTGAATACCTTAAATAATAGGCAAGTGTTCTTTGTATTTGTATATTTTGCATTCATTATCATCCCTGAAAGACTTGGGAAAACCAAGTATGATCCAAAGGAGATCAATCGGGTCTAGCACGTTACAATAAGCAAGGGTATTTTTACCAGATTTTTAGCTCACTTCGACGAAGTCGAGATGAGCTCATGCTATACCCCCGACGTCGGCGTCCTGGTTAAAGTTTTAGAAGCAAGTCCATTCCCAAGTAACTATAAGCCCTACCTGAACCAAACTTGCATGGATGATGCATCTAGGGATGGACACTACCACACTTGCTTCGGGTGCTGGATCTGACCTAGATTTTCCAGATGAGTAACCAGGTTAAAGTTTTTGGAGCAGGTCTTTTTCCAAATAACTATAAGTCCTACTTAAGCCAAACTTGCATGGATATTGATCTTGGGATGTACACTAACTAGAAAAAATATGATGTGAGATTTGCCTTACTTATAGATAACATTCGTCGAGGTGAGCTTCGTAATCTTTGATTACCTATGTTTGAAATTCTTGGGCAACATTGCTTTGTCTATCAGTTAATTTTGTTTTATACTTCCATGGATCGTTTTGTGTTGTATTATACTCAGGTGACGTAAAGGCCCTTGGGTCTCTTGCTCACTATACTGAAAGATATCGAACTTCACAATTTCACTATAGAGAGAAATTTGAAACTTTAATTTACTACAATGAATACAATAGAAATATAGAAAATCTTCGATATTTTGGTTTTTGTGTCGCCTGCAAAGCTAAACTTACGGATCACTTTACCAAGCGTCTTCTGTCTTTCTTTTCGTCTGTCTGTTTGTCACACCTTATATCTCAAGAACTGTAGGAGGTATGGATTTCATATTTTGCACATATATTGTTAGCACTATGGTTTTTGTAAAATACCATGGTTACCGACCTAGTAACCTTTGACCTACTTTTTAATACAGTTTATTGTACCAATAAAAGCACATTTTATTTAACATTTAAAAGGTTTGTCTATGCTATTTAGTATGTGCAATGTTTGCCATTAAACATAATAAAAAAACCAGTGTTAGAGACCATTTGACCATGACCTTTAACCTACTTTGCAAAATAAAATCTGAATTGCTTAATGTTACTTATTCTTTTGAATTTTGAGAGGCAGGAGTTTGATAATTAGCATTTAAGTCACATGTTTACGCGTGTATGAACTGTACTTTGAAACTGCATGATATACAATAACCACACAAGCTGATATTTATAAATACTATGAAAATACATCGGGATCGGTTTTCAAAAATGGATCGTTGTAGACTGATAATTGCTATAAAGACAGGTTCAAAACAACTTCGGAGGACTGTTTGAAAGGCGTATTAATAATCATTTGTAATAATTTCAAATTTTTATTTATTCTACATATAGCTTTGATGGTTAGAGAAATATATTTTTATTTGATTATCAGATTCTGTATATCGCAGTCTAATTATCTGTGGATGTTTTTATTCTTTGCAGGCAATTATCCAAGAACTATAATGCTAGGAGCAAGTAAATAGCTAACCAAGATTAAATTTATTTGCATTTATAATGATGCTATAAAGCAGGCGAAACAATCATTCTTAGAATGCTACTTACGTGGGGTGATCAAAAAGTTCGAAAACCATCTCTATATTTACAAAACCACAATTCAGATCAGAATGAAACTTGGCACACAAATAGTTATAAACATATTCTGTAAATAGCAGATGTTATGTAATGTTTTGGTCCATATTTATGATGTCACAATGTAAAAATGGAGTCAATATGTAAGTGATAGTGCCCAGTGAAAGCATGATGGGGACGAGATGTGTCATTAGTTGAGCAATTTATATGAAATATCGCAAAGTTACAGATAGAAAAATAGTTAAATATCTTAACAATAAAGTAAACCATCCTTAAAATATCATTTACTTTAAAAAAAATTTAACATATCAGATATGATAAAGAGAACACGCCCATACTTGATTCACATTAAAAAACGAAGCATCCAAGACGGAGGAGTCGGGTTGTGATGATCACCATGCTCGTTCTGGTAAAATATATCCATTCATCCTATTGTCGAGATTTGGCAATTCGTGACAAATGGACTATTTCTGTTTTAAAAAATAACCTGCACGGTAACAGATATGACTCGGAACAATCAAATCTTTTAGCTGTTTGAACAGAACGCTACGGAGCATGTCAAGCGACCACCTGGACCACGTGTTTCGCACATGGGCAGAAAGGTGGCAGATGTGCTTTATAACCGGATGGGACTACTTTAAAATATGATACATACTCAATCTAATTTTATATCTTTAATGTTAGTGGTTCAATTAGTTTGCGAACTTTTTGATCACCCCTCGTATAACTAATTGTAGTATTTTATAGTTTACTATACACTGTAGCTACATGTAATTAGTATTCCCCATTATACTATAGCTAATATAGTATTCCCCACTTGTTCCCAGATAGGAAAGAGAATATCACTATCCATGACAACGTCTAGAATATTTTAGAACAATCTATCATAACCCCAAGAAGAATAAAACCCGGTGGATAGGGCATGGTAACAGAAAAACCAGAATCTGTATGTCAAGGTATAGATAACGAACAGTGATGAGGAGTGTAATTCATTTACAACACATACATGGACAACTGTTAGACATCATCCTTTTAAAAGACAACTATTCTCTTATGAACTTGAAAAATTCTATTAGAAATCTTCATTGCGCTTACGATAATTTTTGTTCACCCCATTGAGACCAAATCTAATTCAGTTATCCCTCTGCACCACAATGCAGTATATATTTATTTTTCTTCCATTTTAGAACCCCCAAGCATAACTCTGGGAGAAATTAAAACAGATGGAGAAGAGGTCGTACTTGAGTACGCAGTGTTTGTATCTAAAGATTGCAAACCATTGACCTCCATGTCCTGGAAAAGAAATGGTTGTGATTTGATATTGTCCGGCGAGTCAGAAAATTATTCTGGGGGAACATTGGATGATTCCTGCCTAAGAATTTGCTGTATCAAAGAGGATATTTTTGGCACATACGAATGCACTGTTCAAAATAAATTTGGTGAAATGACAATTCACAAAACATTAGGTAATACTTTTTTTATTTCTAATTAGAAATAAATTCACAAAGTTAAACATCCAATTTCTTGTAATATCAAACTTCATTTAACATGACAAATGTTTCATGAACATTTCTATTATCTGTTGAGTGTTTTCAATTCTTTCTTCTTGATTCTGATTTCCACACTCAAAAACGTGCTTTTAGACCTCAGTCACCACTCTCTTCAAGAAACGTTCGGTACCGAAGCGATTGATTCCGTTCCAAAAAGAAAACGTATCGCAAAACCCTTTAGACTGCTTTAATGATTAATACTCAAAACATTCATAATAACGCAGGGTTACGGATTATTATTCCCAAAATTTTCTTTGGAATTATTGTGTACTAATCTACTTCATAACAATTAACATATCCTCAATATTTTAATATTATCGACTATGTATCCATCTTAGCACTTTATTTGTTAACAAGAAAAGTAATGAATAAAGTTTAGGTAAACTTCGTCCATTCGCAACCCCATTTTACAGCCAATTAAACTGTTACAGTCCCTGAAACGTTCTACTTTCCCACTTGAACGGTGAGCGAACGCTGAACGAACGGTGAACGAACGCTGAACGAACGCAGAGCGAACGGTGAGTGAACGATGTCTGAACGCTGAACGCAACTTGGTGAACGGTGAGCGAACGCAGAACGCGAACGGAGCGGAAACGCGAGCGCAAAGTGAACGGTGAACGAACGGTGAACGCAAGATGAACGATTTATTCGGAATGCCTCTGATCTTTTCCTTGCATTGAAACTATTCCATTGTATTCTAATGCCTGGTGCTAAAAAAATAAATGAATAATAAATAAATAAACAAATCAATGAAAATTGTCCTAAGAAAGACGATACATACACATTAAGTAAAATTATTAATTTAAGTTTCTTACAGTATTTTCTGCACATATGCACGATGTTTAAATTCAACTTTTTAATTACACGATTTTTATCGCTGTAAAACATTGTAATTGTTTCTGAACACTGTAGTATAACAGATGAAATTAATCTAGTTGTAAAATAAATATGTTTGTTCTTATTTAATATATAAAATCATTACAAATAATGTGGATTTTAGAAGAGAAAACTACTGACATATAGAATGAATAACAACGGTTGTAACAACCATACAAGGCGATTCCGTGTAAAATAATGAGAAAAAAAATATTTTACAAAGGTATGTGGACGTATTGCATAAATACACTCGTATTTTAAAATTTTAATGCAATAATATATTTATGTGTCAGTTTTATTTTTTATGATGATTTATTCAGCAGACTTCTACATGTATCTGTAGACATTTCCCGGCCGTGATTATACTCGGACAAGATGATACAAAGAGGCATTCATATTATTTGTTATATATTAAATTTTTACAACTTGATATTAAAGTAATATGCTGTCATAATTTTTATTAGACAAATGAGAGAGAGAGAGAGAGAGAGAGATTCGGTTTTAGCCCCCCTCCTTTTCCTCAAATGTTTGTACCCATATCAAACAAAAATTCTAATTTTTTTCTAAATATATCAGGCAGTGAAAGTAACCATTTTCTATCAACAAATCCATTTGTTTTACAGTCATAATTGGTTTTTATTTTCCTGCTTCAAGTTCACACGAAGTCCACGTGCTTGACCTGTCAATCAAAATCATTCGACACTGTGCAGGTGTGAAAGTCTCTTCACACCGAAGGCAAAGTGTTAGTATTTCCAAGAAGTTTTAACATTTTTTCTTATCATTTCTAGATTTGATTCCAACATTTCTAAAAATAAATAAATAAATAAATAAATAAATAAATAAATAAAATGCTTTGGGAATAAACACTTGGAATGATTAAACCGCTTGAATTTGAAACATGCTCCTTAAAATATCACCGCCGGCACTTGTATATTTTGAACTACTATTGTTTATTGACTTTGTCTGGATGCATGTTTGTTTTGAGACTGAAATTTTTGTGCTACAAAACACATTAACCTCTTTTTAAATGTTAACTAAAATGTACTGGAAATGCTAATTAAGTAACCGATTTAGGGGAAGGGGGGGGGGGGGTGCTCTTAATAATATCGAATGACAAACATATAAAGTTACGGTGAAAAATATCATTACTGAAGAATCACCTTGGTTATATAAATGATACTCATGTTATAAAGGCATTTCTCTCTATCTAATTAAGCCCTTTTATATGTAAAGTAGAGAAAAATTCTTTAATGTATTACATTTTAAACAAATATTTTTTCAAACCACACTATCAATTTAATTTCCTCTAAAGATATTTAATTAACTGGATATCCGCAGTACTGTTTATCATTCTCAGAACAAGTTCTAATATGTATTTCTGTATTATCCGAAAAAATGTGATAGAAATAAATATTTTCGCATTTTTGCTGCAGTTTGTAAATTAATTGCCTTCGATTATTATCTATCCATTAACGATTTGTCGTCTTTAACATAACAACAAAATGTTGCAGTGCTTGAAGTATCAGTATTTTGCCCGTATTTAAATTTAATTTTTCAGCATCGTTCTACATAGGTACATACATGTACTTATAACAACATTTATTTTCCAGATAAATTTTATAGATAACCTAACAGCTAAGTTAGAATAATAAAAATAAATATTGTACATAATTTTTTCCCCATGAAATAACGATTCTTTAAACACGGTATGTTATTTATTTAATTCAAAATCTGTAAATCCTTACTTAAAAAAAGATAAGTCCTCTCACTTCGGAGTTCCGAATGACACTGAAGACTGAGCGATAAGTGAACGCTGAACGCAAGGTGAACGCAAAGTGAACGAACGAAGAGCGAACGGTGAACGCTTTGTGAACGGTGAACGCGAGCGCACGGTGAACGCTGAACGCAAAACTGTGAACGGAGAGCGAACGGTGAACGCACGGTGAACGAACGGTGAACGCACGCTGAACGCACGCTGAACGAACGGTGAACGAACGGAAAAATGGGAAAGTAGAACGTTTCAAGGACTGTATACATTCTTTGACAGCTGATGTGAATGATGAGCATGAAGCGTCGTTCTTTTTGCATATTTACTTGCATGAAATTAAATTTGAAATACATTGTGAAATTAAATTAATATTTTATACTAAGTTTATGGAATTATAACTTTTTACTCTTTGAAGTCTGTAAAGTTTCTAGTGAGTCAAACACCTAAACGATCAATTTAAAACTTTTAAAAGGAAAAAAATTACATTCATGATTGCTCAAAAATAAAACATGCTAAAACACTAAAAATTGCCTATAAATACAGAAAAACATACCAATCATTTTTTTATCATTGTTCATTTGATCATTTATTCAAGAAAGCATTATGTTTATATATATATATATATATATATATATATATATATATATATATATATATATATATATATATATATATATATATAAATGAAGCAGCAGTGACAAGAACTGAATAAAAAGGGGAGGCGAAAAAGGCTGGAGGCAAATCAATAAAATTAAGCTCATTCATTCACAAGTGTAATCAGTGAAATGCTAAATAGTAATCATATTTGACTGGAGAATATACGAATATACTTTATAAAACAGGAAGGACTTTCTTTTTTTTTTTTCTTTTTTTTTTTTTTTTTTTTTTTTGGTTACTGGATGTAATTTGAGATATTCAATTTATTTCCAAAGATGTTGAATGATAAGGCTATGATGTACAATGTGAAGGTAAAACGAGATGTTTGTGAAGGACTTATGTCCCCCTCCAAATAATTGGAATTTTTCTAAATCAAAGAGGCATAACTCTGTCGAAAATGGCTCGATCGTACCCAAAACAGAACTTGAGCTAGATATTTTTATGATAAATCTTTATACCAAATTTCATTTCAGTATGTGCAACCTCTGCGAAGAAAATGAACGGTAACTGCAAATAATTGGAATTTTCCTAAGTCTAAGTGGCATAACTCTGTCAAAAATGACTCGATCATACCCAAAACAGAATTTGACCTACTAGATATTCTTATGATAAATCTGTATACCAAATTTCATTTCAGTTAATGATTAGGGCCTCTGTTACATGTATAGAATCATCCTTTTTAAAATGACAATTGTTCTGATTTGAAATTGTAAATTCTTTCAGGACTGTCTATTTGCTAACGCGAAAAATTATTTTACCCAATTGACACCAAAACTTATCCGGTTTCGACTATACATTTCATCTTTATCTCATCTTTATCTTCCGTCGGTAGAGCGCTGCTCCGTGATCGGAAAGTCGTGTGTTCGAATCACGGCCGCACCTGACCTAATCGATGAAAAAAAGGTAGCAAATGTTCCTTCGCCAAGCGCTCGGGACTTTGAAGTGAAAGTTGCAGGTCTCTCGGATGAGACCTTAAAAATGGAGGCCCCGTGTCACGGTAGGCGTTGGCACGATAAAGAATCCTCACTGTTCAATGGCCCTGAGCTGAGTGTCGAGTAAAGGTCTAAATTTGAAGCCCCGCGCCGGTTTGTGGTGACGTCTCTATATGAGTGAAAAATTCTCGAACGGGACGTAAAATAACATACAATCAATCATCTCTATCTTTCTTCCATTTTAGAACGCCCAAGCATAACTCGGGGGGAAATTAAAACAGATGGAGAAGAGGTTGTACTTGAGTACGCAGTGTTTGTATCTGAAGATTGTAAACCAACGACCTCCATGTCCTGGAAAAGAAATGGTTGTGATTTGATATTGTCCGACGAGTCAGAAAATTATTCTGGAGGAACATTGGATGATTCCTGCCTAAGAATTTTCTGTATCAAAGAGGATATTTTGGGCACATACGAATGCACTGTTCGAAATAACTTTGGTGAAATAACAATTCACTACACATTAGGTAATACTTTTTTTTTAATTTTATTTCTAAATAGAAATAAATTCACAAAGTTAAACATCTAATTTTTTGTAATATCAAACTTCATTTAGAATGACAAATCTTTTCATGAGCTTTTCTGAGGTAGAAGTCAGATTGAGTATTCTAATATTTTTCAGAAGATATAACTTAAAAAATTGTTAATGCTTGTACTGATAAATGATTAATTTTTTAATTATATAAGCATAACATAAGATTCTTGATGACCGTTATCAGTTGAGAGTTTTCAATTCTTTCTTCCTGATTCTGATTTGTACACTCTAAAAAGTGCTACTACACCTCAGAAACAAAGAGAACCACTCTCTGCAAGAAATGTTCGGTACCGAAGCGAATGGTTCCGTTCCGAAAACAAAACGCACTGCAAAACCCTTTAGACTGCTTTAATCAAATAATCCGATTGACATACTACAAACCTTTATAATAACGCAGGATTACGGACTATTCCCAACATTTTCTCTGGAATTATTCTGTAATAATCTACTTCATAACAATCAACATAACCTAAACTTTATCATATCGTTTATGTATCCATCTTAGCAGTTTATCTGATAACAAGAAAAGTAATGAACAAAGTTTGGGTAAATTTCGTTCATTCACAACCCCATTTTACAGCCAACAAAACTGCTATACATTCTTTGACAGCTGATGGTATTGATGATCATGAAGTAGTCGTTCTTTTTTTAAATATATTTACTTGCATGAAATTAATTTTTTTTTAAAAAGTTGTTACATGTATTCGTTGTGAAAATAATTGATACCTGTATTTTACTCTAAATTTCTGCACTGATGCCATTTTACTTTTTAAAGCTTATAAGGTTTTTCATTGTAAAGTTTCAAGTGAGTCTACACCAAAACGATCAATTTAAAACCTTTAAAAGGAAAAAAAAAAGAAACATTAAAGATTGCTTAAAAATAAACGAAAAACATACTAAAACCACTTATTCCTGCCCATTTGTAAAGGAAAAGAAAATAAATATTTTTTCATCATTGTTCGTTTGATCATTTACTCAGGAAAGCTTGATGTTATTTTTTTTATAAACAAAGCAGCTGTGACAAAAAATTAATAAAAATGGGAGCCGAAATAAAAGCTGGAGGTAAATCAATAAAATTAAGCTTATTTATTTACAATAATAATATTGAAAATGTAAAATAGAAATTATGTTTGATTAAGATAAAAATACTGACATACGTTTTTAAAAAAGAAATGCCGGTATGCCGACAGCAACCAGATCTTCTTTCTCAAATTTGTTTCAGAGTGTAATTTGAATTGAATTTCTTCAATTCCCAGATATCGAATAATAAGGCTATGATGTACAATTTAAATTAATAAATAAAGGGACAACTAACCTAACGAAATAGATGTAAACTTGTGGAGACAGAATTAGAAATGAATTTAAAAAAAGGAAATGAATAACGAAATTGGTTGATACCAAAAATACCAATTTAAACAGGTAATATGCATGATTGTTTTTACTCAATATGAACAAATTGTTAAGAAAATGTGTGACAATGGCGTTTTATCTATATAAGATAAAGAGATTAACAAACATTAAGAGGCCATGTCACTAATCATCACGTTTACACAATGAAATTGATGGAAATTTTTTAAAATTGAGAAGTTTTGGAATTTTTGTGTAAATAATCTTTTTTAACACTTTTATGATTTCTGGTATTTTTTTAATGATTGGCAAAATCGTTTCCATGGTAACCATATATGAAATTAAGTAAAATGCATGTTAAGTAAATTCAGATTCAGTCGATTTTCAGTACTTTTGCATAGTTCAACATATAAAAAAAAAGAATAATGATAATAAATAACACTGCATGACTAAAACCATTAAAAAAAAAAAAGAAAGTATTTTTATATTTTGTCTGCATGTTAACTAGAGGTATTTAATTTCTAATGGTTTTACTACCTGGACTTGTCTATTGTTGACCCTGTTTCAGTGATTAAATTCTCAAATCTGTAACAGGAAAATAAATATCTGATGCTGTTTTCAAAGATGTCAACATTATTACTGTTCAAGCAAAATTGAGAAGCATTTTTGGCTTGGTTGAAATTGAAGCGATGTTTTTATCGTAATGATGGGTACTTTTCCCATTTTTAATGTCCCTTGGAAGCTCTTCTGTGATAGAGACAAAGAAATATTGGCAACCTTTAGATGTTGTGGAGCACTGACCCAAGCCAGTCAAAGAAGATTCATGATATTTCAAGAAAGAAAAGTGATTCCTAAGCTTAGAATCTTGTCAACAACTAAAAACATATGCCCTACCAGGTAGTACCTTCTTTTAAAAAAAAATATTCATTTCTGAAAGCGATTGTTTTCTTCGTAATCTGAATCTTCCCTTTCTTTGTTCATAGTAAATACCTGTAAATTCCTAATAAATTTGTTCCCTTTGTTCATGATCTGAAAAAAAATCGCTACAAACTCTGCTTCAACTTATAAATAGTTTTTCTTTTCGCAGAACTATGTAGAAACTATAGAAATTACATTGATGAAATAATAAATGCAGTGGCAATCAACAGCTGATAAAGACAGATATCCAATCCATCGAAATTGATACAGTACTTCCTCTATGTACATATACTTATGACGGATTGTCTAACTATTTTGTTTATCAGCCATTTAACAGGTTCTTAAAGTGAAACATCAATTTTTAAATACATTAAAAAATTTCTTTGAAATTCAGGTGCTGATCAAAGATTTTTTTTTCCGGGAGAGGGGGGGGGGGGGGGGTCTCACCAACTACACCAGATGCCAAATTTGGAGAAGTTGGCATACAAGAAAAATAAATAAAAAATATCCTTATAAGAGGAATATAAGATCTTTTCCGAAGTAAATTCCTTCAGATATATGAATCTGCTCACCAGTATAAGAGAGAACCATGTTTACTAGGTAAAGGTAATTTTTTCTGATACTTTTAGCTAAAAATCCCAGCCTACCTCCTCTAGGTCAGATCTGCACAGTGAAATTTCAAGATATCAATTAACTTCAAAGTTACAGAGACAAGTTAATTCATTTGCAACTAAAAGATAAAACATGAATATATTTAAAATGTATTTCTTTTATTCTTTACTTTCTTATCATCTACAGTGGTCAAGAAAAACTTGTTAGTAACAGAGGTAAATTAAACAGAGTCTCTACATATTCAACAGAATATTACCGAAAGACTCAGAACAGAGATCTATAAACTAATAATTATTCATTTACTTGTTGTTTATGTCTCTGATCAAAAGAACAGAAATACAAGTACAGCCTATTTCATCATAATGTACATGTACATGCGCATGCATGTAAATTCTTCAAATAGTAATCCCTACAGTTTAATTCCCTCTCTCCATTCAAAAATGTTACTGTTTTATTTCCTACAATATTTTTCATTTTTCACAAAGTTTAATGAATTAATGTCATAGCATTTCGACATAAATAGTTAAATCACTTTTACAGAGAAAAAGAAGGAATTATCCATTGAAATCATTGGAATCAAATGGATCTTGTGATAATGTTATTATGTAAGTAATTATCATGCACTTTATAATAATTATTGTGTTTTATTTGTACTTTTTATCTCACCTGAGCTGAAAGCTGAAGTGATCACATGTTTTAGCTCAAGTGAGCTTTTCTGATCACATTTTGTCCATAGTCCGTGTGTCTAGCTGTTTGTCTGTCTGTCCGTCTGTAAACTTTTAACACTTTCGACTTCTTCTCACGAACCACTTGGCCAATTTCAACCAAACTTACAACAAAGTTTCCTTGGGTAAAGGGAATTCATGTTTGTTCAAATGTTGGGCCATGCCTTCTTCCAAGAGGAAATTATTAAAAATTAATAAAAATTAATGACATCTTTTAAAATTCTTCTTCACAAGAACCACTGGGCCAGCTAGGAAAGATGAAACTTATGTGGAAACATCTTTAGGTAGTATAGATTCACGTTTGTTCAAATCATGACCAGCAGGGGTAGGGCGGGGCCGAAATAGAAGTTTTACATAGGAATACATTGGAAAAATCTTTAAAAATCCTCTTCTCCAGAACCACTGGGCAAGGAAAGATGAAACTCATGTGGACACATCTTCAGGTAGTGTAGATGTCAGATTTGTTCAAATCATGACCCCCGGGGTAGGGTGGGGCCACAATGGATGATCAAAGATTTAGATAGGAATACATAGGGAAAATCTTTAAAAATCTTCTTCTCAAGAGCAGCAAAGCCATGATTGGTCATATTTATTTGGAAGCAACCTCAGGTAGTGTATATTCAAATTTCATCAAATCATGACCCCCGGGGTAGGGTGGGGCTACAATGGATGATCAAAGATTTAAATAGGAATATATAGGAAAAATCTTTAAAAACCTTGCCAAAGAACAGCAAAGCCATGATTGGTCATATTTATATGTAAGCAACCTCAGGTAGTGTAGATTCAAAGTTGTTCAAATCATGACCCCCGGGTGTAGGGCGGGACCACAATGGACGAGCAAAGATTTACATAGCAATACATAGGAAAAATCTTTTAAAATCTTCTTCTTAAGAACATCAAAGCCGTGATTGGTCATATTTATTTGGAAGCATCCTCAGGTAGTGTAAATTCAAGTTTGTTCAAATTATTACCCCCTGGAGTAGGGTGTGGCCACAAAAGAAGATAAACCTTACAGGAAAAAATCTTTTTAAAAACTTCTAAAGCCATGATTTGTCAAAGAAATATGATAGCATCCTCAGTTAGTGTAGAATCAAGTTTGTTCAAATCATCCCTCCTTCACTTAGGGATAGATTGATACCACTTACAAAATACTGAACTTTTAACCAAAGTGCTCAGATGATCGATGTGGTTCATGGGTCTCTTGTTCAGTATTAGTATGTATGTCCACCTGTAAACTAAATTTCGAATTCTTCTACAGAACCACTACGTCTATTTCAACCAAACTTGTCACAAAGCAAATGTGTTCAAATAACGTATTTCCTGAAATACGCCGGTGTCAAGTGTTTTAGTTCATGTCATCATGAATTTTCAAAAATCAAATTCGTTTTTTTCAAATAAACTCATAGCGTACCAATAATAAGCAAAGTATTACTAGTGTGCAATATATTTCTTGGGAAAATTAACATCCCCAAGTCATGTGGATATGAACTAGGTTAAGAGGGGGGATCAAATATGGAAACAATTAAATTTCACATTATTCATTAAGGCTACATAATTTATACATGTATGCGATCCAGAATATACATTTTGTGAGTGGATTCAAGATTGCATGTCATGGCCTCTTGATGCTAGGGTACAGCCGCAGTATGAACTTAAATGATCCATGGGAATATAAATGGGATTTTTTTTAAGTATCTAAAAATATACGTGCTTAGGTGGCTCAAGTGAGCAGTGTTATTGAAACTCCTCTTATTTAAAAAAAAATAAGTGTAATTGCTAATTTGAGTCAATGGTAATATTTTAAACGTACTGAGATTAAAGAAAAAAATTTATCCTTAAAGATTTTCGATCTTTGTTCATTTCTTGTAAAATGTAGTTTGGGCAACTTTGTCAAATATTTTTTTTTTATTTTTTCAGGATTTTCCATAGCAATCAGATTCTCATGAAAGTTTATGGCCCCTAGAGAGTTAGGACACATGCATGACTGGAGGCAGCTAAGTTAAGAACCTCCATAGGAAATAAGCCTTAAAACATTCCGAGAAAATGAATGCAATTTTGATATTTTTTTTAAACAGCATCAGTTTTGATGAAATGGAATTTTCTATTTGCTTATGTATATATCGGGTCTCCGCTGAGTTTGGCCAAAGTGACGTCACTTACATCAGCTGTTTGTCACGTGAAAACTTTAAAATCAGAAGAAAAAAATATGTACGGCAACAAAAATAATTAAAAAAATCAACGATATACGGATATCTTTTCGCTATGAAATTGATTTTGCTTTCTTTGAGACAAATTCCTTAAAATGAAAAGTGTTTGGAGCACCTTCCTCATGCTCGGGAATTATGTTAGATTTAGCCATCTTCTGATAAACTTCCTAATATGCATTGAAATAATGTTAAATTATTGAATAAAGCAGCAGCGCTCAACCACCTCCCAGCACATTTCAAAACTGTACGGATAGTAGCTACAAGTGTTTAAATACTCATAATTTATTGAACTTTTGGGATTTTCCAGGGGTTGTGCCTGTCATTCTAGATTACTGTACAAGTGTGCATTACTACGGCTTTATATAAGGTCCATACATGTTCAATTTAATTTGACTATAAAATGTTGATTAATACATTGAAGAATATGTTTTTATTTTAGTAAAATCACGCTTGATTCATTAATTTTCATTAGTTGATGAAACAAGAATATCAGCTGTCTCGTTTAAAGTCATCATTTCGTAAGTTCTTTGGTCGATACAATGACCTTGTCAGCAAATACAATTTATCATTGAGTCAAATTCTGACTGACGTTTTTCATACTAATTGTTAGGCCATTATTTACACACTGAATTGTCGACGGATTTTTCCGTTATTTCCCGATCATGACAAGGAGAACAGGGCGGGTGTGACCGATCGGCAGGGGATGCTCACTCCTCCATGGCACCTGATCCCACCTCTGATGTTTGGAGGTCTGTGTTTGCTCTGCTCCTATTTTGTATTGTATAATGGACTTTTGAGCTTGAATACTGTTCGTTATCTCCATATATTTCATTCACAAGATACGAAAATAGCTTGATCCACTCCTCAAGTACAGAGAAACTGTGTGTCAAACTAGTCAGTGACGTCATCTGAGTCACTGAAGCGAGATCAAGCTGGCTTTCATTCTACATTAGGATCGAGTTATATTGGCAAGATAAGTTACACATCGATTAATCTTTACATCACTTATAAAAAATTAAAATATTTTAGTGTGAATGAAAACAACATTAGCATTTATTCATCGAGATTCATTTGTATTGTTTTAACATGACGTCATAATTGTATCCCGAAGTTCTGCATAGGCTGACGTAAGTATGGGAATCCTAAACTAGCTGCGAGAAAGTGAGATGACAGAAGTATTATTATAGGACTCTCTGATTATACATGTACTCTTAAAAGTACAGTTTGAGATGATTTCTTTAAATGCTGTAACATGGACATAGCCCCATAAAGAACAATTAAACGGATTGAAGTTTTTATTAAACAAGAAATGACTATTTCTGAAAGATAATGAAATGCTAAATTTTAGGAAAAATTATGTAAAATTCAGACCTTAAAAAAAACAATGCTCATAAATAAATTTATATGCTTTTGTTTGAATTTTCATTGGAGTGTTGCCAATCGTTTTTGATAATTTAAGGATCAGCATTGTTCGCAGTACAGTTTAAGTGCGCAGTGGAAATATCGGCAATTTTTGTGATTAAAAATAAATTCTTAATTAGGATGGCGATTCTTTATAGTACTTTATTTATATCGGACAAATGTAATTATGGTTAATAACTACATTTTGAGGACGATAAGATTTCATATTTAGACTTGTCACGTGATGCGACAGTCACTTGATTTTAGCACATGTATATTTGCAGTATTAAGGTCACCTATAAATTTCAGTAGAAAACAAGACAAAACAGCATGTTATGGTAAGTTTTGATGTAGTTTGATGGTCTCCTACGGTTTAAAATAGCAAATCATTTCATTTGTGGTATTTTAAAGAAATGTTGGTTTTGTATGATATCATAGTTAATATTTCCTCTATAAATTAGGCTCTGCCCCCTTTTTGTAGCCTTAATTGTGCTGCGTTGTTATGGAACTCATTTGGTTCCTATGCTCAGATTACATATCGGATAGCAGGGTTCTTTTGCAGATGTAAAATTTGGCGTTTTGCTTGTTCAAAGGTATGCCGATAATTTTGGTGGAACTCTTTGTCGCGGACACAGAGTACATGTAACATGACGTTGCAAAAGAGAGGAAATTTATCTTCTAGATGAGTTTTTAGTGCGTTTAAAGTAGGTTTGAATACATATTTAAGAAAACGTTTGAGTAAAAACCAATACAAGATGAAATGTATATTGTTTAACAAAGGACTGATCAAAGTTATTTTTCTTGTATACAGTAGCTATACGCAAGGGTGCAAATTTAGCGCTTAAAATATGAGCGGTCTACTTCAAAACCGATAAAATAAACCAAAGTTAGCACCCTTTAAAAAACCCCGGTATACGGTAATTGATGCAGAAAATCAAGTATGTTTTTATTATTCATAAGTGAGATACATCTTGTATACTTACTTTCCTACATACAAATACATGTTCTTCGTTGTTTTTTGTCAATATTCTGAGAATACATGGTTGCTATGAAGTAAAATAAGTTACTAAGGGCATGTATAATAATTTTTCCATTTTTGTTCATCGTATCTCTTGATGATCTAAGAGGATATAACCAAAAAATAATGAAAAAGTATCAATTGGGAAGAAATTGAAGGGTTAACGTTTTCTTCTAAAATTTGAGATGTATTTTTAACCTTGATTTGGAGTAAACACGTAAAGCTTAACCATTGTTCTACCAAAAAACCTATCACAATCAAAAAATGTACGACGTAATTAATAAAGGAACGTAGCATATAAAAAATATAAAGCACATCTAAATTGCAAGGCATCGGTTGCCATGGCAAAACGAAAATTGCACAGTTATACAGTTTTAAAATTTGAAAACTGTCTCTCAAGTTTAAACTTATAAATATATAACCAAGATAAGTATTAAATTGAAACTCGTTCTAACAAAATGCAGGCTCATCTACAAGAATGACACATAAAATTGAGAAACATTTTTTGATTGTGATATCAGTATACGTTTTGTTAAAATTGATTTGGAACACTATTAAAATTGAAGCTATTTTTCTCAATCTATGTTGGCTTCCATGGTTACACATAAAAAAGGGAAAATAATAGATTTGTCTGTCAAACATCATTTTCATATATTGGAAGTTGTATGCTATGAATACTTTTTACAATCAATAAAAGAAAATAGTAAGTTAAAATTTCCAGTTTTCATCTGAAGCTTGATGATTCGTGACATGACCTTTTAAAAAATAAATGACTTTTATACGAAGGAGCCAATCATAGACTTATGCATATAGACTTTGCAAACTGAATTTGCACACCGTTCACCAAAGCATACCGTGCAAGAACCGTTAAATACAGTCCAGGAAACGAACGGTATCGTGCAACAAGAGAACCATACCTTCCACAAAACGAAACGCACTGTTTACAAAACAAACCTTCCGTCCACAAAACGGAACGTTCCGTTCACAAAATGGAACTTTCCGTTCATAAAACAAAATTTTCCGTTCAAAAATGAAGTGAACCGTACCGTGCAAGTGGTGAAGTAGCACGTTTTAGTATTTGTAACATTAAATTATAAAAAAAAAAAAAAAAATAATAAAGTTGGATTGGTTAAATATTTATATTTCTACTAAAACCTTAAGAAGTTAAACATTCTAATACGGATTGTGGCTATTGCTAAGCCCTTACAGTTACTGGTAATGATATAATACAAATCTAAATCCAAAGTGATGTATTTTAGAATTTTCGTAAGAAAATATTGGACATTTCACAAATCATGATTAAGACCATTATTTTACAGATGGCATACAGTGCAGTTCGAGAGAATGTCAGAGTTTCTTACTGTGCTGTTTGCTACTAGATAAATGTCGACCCAGTAACAATGAGCCAGATGACTGGGAAGAAAAGCTAAAACTGTCCTGGAATTTTTGCTTTGGGGATGACGAAAAGAATATCACAGAGCGTGTCCTTCCTGCTATATCAAATGGAAAATTTGAAGATTATGTTAGTTGTAAAAACAATGAGTATAAATTGTTATCTCCTGATATAATATTTCAGTCTTTTCTGCAAAGGAGTGGTTTTGTGGACTTCTTTCTTAAGCATGCTTGTTCACAAAGCATTGGTATATATTGTCGATCACCTGGATACAAAAAGGATCGATGTGAAACTTCCTGCACTGTCACTCCTGAGCAATTCAAGGTTGTTGTGCAGCGACTCAGGTTCGACATCCTGACTGATTATTCAATCAAGGACAAAAGGTTTCACCCAATCATCGAAGAAGTTCGTAAGTTATACAATATGACGCCATTATTAAGCTATATGAAGTGAACTTTAGATATATCGATTTCTTAAAATCTATATTTAAAGATTTATTTCAGGTCCTAGAAATGAATGGAAATATTCAAAAACATAATATAAACTAAATCTTGTCGATTTGGAGTGGTATAAGTATCTATGTATTTATCACAGGGGTTAATTTACCAAACCCATGACGTCATAACTGTTGATCAAATATTTTCCGAGTAAAAATGATACTAAACAAGAATTCATCTAAACAAATATATGAAATGGGAGTTTAAAAGTATATACAGTGAAATACACCTGTGATTCATTAGAAATTAAAGATTAAGAATAAGGTATGCTAATTTATTTTTATATTTCTTTCGTATAATGAAGACAAGTGGTGTTTTGAAAGTCCGATCAGCCTGTCCTTTTTGTTCTTAACAACAACCAAAAAAAAAATGCAAAAGTACAAGACTACACCGCATACTTTGAAACATAATTTTTGTTTCTATAAAAGATTATATTCTACAGTACTTGGAAAGTGCTGCTGGGTAACATGGACTGATGAAAATTCTTCGATCTTATGTGCAACATGTTTAAATTTGGTAAGGTTTCATGCACGAAAATGGAAGAATTATTCTGTGATAGGCGTGTACGATTCTTGCAGCACTTTTCATGGCTGAGAGATTGTTTTCATGATTATTTTTCAAACAGATATTAATCATCGCCGGGCTACTGGTAAACATTTCTTTTTTTCATTTAGTCATTTTTTTTCTATTTAGAGACCTCACATAATGACGTCGCAATGGAGTGCTTCTTTAGCCTAAGATTGATGTCTATAGAATGGGTTATAATAGTAAATGTTCTATCCATGACTTTTATGATTTATCAATGTTACATTTTTCAAAATATGTACATTCGCTGAATTCTGATCTGTGTGCTGCCTTAACATACTGTGCGGCCCCATTTCCCCATATTTCACACAAAGATTGTTGGTGAAAATTTAAATCGAAAGATAATGTCGATGTAATTTCTGTGTAAAATCCTTTTTGTGAGCTCATTTTTTTCTTTCCTCTGTTTAATCGTGATAATGCTTAGACCAAACAGAGTACCTAAGCTAAGTGTGTGCAATGACCTTTCATAGACATTCTAAAGGATCACTTCTAGGTAAATATATGTGTTGACCTATAGGGCCGATATTGGTTTTAGAAAAAGATTATCGATATCCGTTCCGGTCACTGACTTTAGGCCACATGCGTGTAGTTTCTCGTTTCTCATGTATTGCTTTAGCTGTAGTCAACTTTGTGTTCATATGACCCTACCTCGGTATTTACAGATACATCCTTTGTATAAGGGTCCTTACCTGATGCCTAGGTAATGGCAACGGGACATGAAACCTTAACTGGCCTTACCACATTCTTTTCTAATCTGTAAACCTTCCTCCTGCATTTTTGACATAGCATGTCGCCAATGCACACAATTTTCCCGAGGAATGAACTGCATCTACTCTGCATAGCGCAGTATCTCTCCCACTGGCACAATAGTACTAATACCCAGATATGTTCTCGAAAGACAAACGCAGCAATTTGTGCTCGTCATGATTTTTTTTTTTTTTTTTTTTTTTTTTTTTTTTTTTTTTTTTTTGGTGACATCGGCATTATCGGGTAACACAAATTGAATGATTCGTGTCCTTGAACAAAGTGTGCCTATACTGAGGTATAGTTCTAGTTGATTGCGTTTAGTTAAAGAGAATTTATGATCTGCATTTCCATAAATGTCTTTTATATCAACAGAAAACATACATTTAATGAAGAAAATAGAAGCAAAATGCAAAAGCCTGTATTAAAAAAAATTAAATTCGTGTTGAAACAGGTGAAAATTTGAAAAAAAAATAAAAGTATGCAAACAGATGGATTCGAACAAGGACACAAAAAATGTTCATGGTGAGAGTCTGTTGTCTACCTTACTGAGCGATAATGACTATTAAGATACATGTCATAGATATAAACCAGTATGATAGAAATAGGATTTCGCATTTTTTGTAGTTTTTTTTAAGGAATTTCGACCCTAGGGCAGGGGTGCCCCTAAAACAAATGTTGTTTTGAATTATTCCTTAGATCAAAATCTATCAAAATTTCATAATTAATTTAAGGGCAGGCCTGCCCTGAAGAACTTCTATGCCAAAATTCATGCAAAAATTAGTGCTATTGACAGACAAAATACTGTTTTGATCAACTTTGGAGGTTAATTTCAAAGTTGCAAATAAAATAAATTAGGTTTAAATTGCAAATTTGAAAAATTTAAACAAATATACGATAGAAAACAACTAAAGAACATAGATTTTTAAATGTGACTTTTTCCGGAAAATTGTTCTCTCCTATAGGTCAAATCTTTCGTTATAACGAATGCATCCTTTCCAAATTCAAAGATAAGGGTCAAAGCAGATCTCCGTGTAAAATATACAGAACATAAGATCGAGGCAGACCTTTGTGTAAAATTCTATTTCCTTCCCATTGACTAGTATGACTAGTTAGTAGCCCTAACAAAAAATGTACTATAGTAAACTATAGTATCAAAGTTTTTACTATAGTTAATCAAAGTATTTATACTATAAATTTCAGATTGTTATATTTTATTTGTTTAAACTCCTCCAAACAATTTTCTTGTATTAAGAGGAATATAACGTGTATATTTTCATATTCATTAAAAAGATTAAATAAATGAAATTCAATTTAAGAAATATTAGCGCTTAAAATCTTCAAAAAGGTTCTATAGTAAAGTTTCATAGTAAATCAAAGTATCACAGTATTTACTATAGTTAACTACAGTAAACTATTGTTAACTACAGTAAACTATTGTTAACTACAGTAAACTATAGTTAACTACAGTAAGCTATAGTTAACTACAGTAAACTATAGTTAACTGTAATGAACTGTAGTAAACTATAGTTAACTATAGTAAATGTTTGTTAGGGAGGGGATAAATATTGTCTCCAAGTACTCCAGTGAATACTAATATCATTTGTATTGTTTACAGTGAACATTCCAAAAGGTATTCTTAGTTTAGGGAGCGAGAGTATATCCAAATATCTGAAAGATCTCACCCATGGCGAACATGTAGTCTATGTTGCTAGGGGAATGCTAGTTGGATGTGAAGGGGCAGGAAAAACAAGTCTTCTGCGCAGACTTAGGGGAGAAGATACCCCGGATCCTTCATCAACAAGAGGAATAGATGTCCATGTTAATTTATTCACCGTGGATGGGAAAAAACTTGAGGGTCAGGTTCAAAACTGTCAGCTCTTTTGTAACTGAAAAATTTTAATAACTGCAGTGTTTCTGCACACCATTAATTGTGTCATAAAGCATTGGTTATTGTATGATACAAAAGGCAAATTAAAGCTTTTATAAATATAGGCCAATGGCTTACCCAATTCGTTTTACTGAACAGTCATATGCATACCGTTTCATTAACTTTTTTCATGTCTTTTCAAATACCATCTTGATGTTTACGGTGATGTTATTTCAACAAAATTTTCAATTTGATTTCAGTAACAACCAATCCAAATAAAGCAAGTCTCCGTTCATCTTTAAATCAGGAAGATCGACCTGATGATCACAACCAAAACATGAACGATTCTTCAAACCAGCAGTCTGGGAGATCTAGTTTTAGAAAGGAAAATATCAAGAGCGATAAAATGTCCACAAAAATACTTCCAGCTTTATCAGAAATAAATGACCAACAAGTTGCACAGATACCGAATCAAAGAGAAAACAGGATGAATGAGGAAACTATTCAAAACGTCATCACGAATGAAGCAGAAGATGACGAGAAATTGACCGATGATATATCTTCAGTAGATTCAAGTGTTCTTACATCTGATGACAAAGATATCCATACTACGTTTTCCATCACGCAAACATTGTCAGAGTCTTTTGTAGATGAGAATGAAAAAATCATAACAATCTTTGACTTTGCTGGACAATTTGCTTACTACGCCTGTCATCACCTTTATTTTTCTCCCAATGATTTCTACATTTTAGTAATGGACATCACAAAGAAATTGAATGATCGCGTAATAACAGACAAAGCAGCTGAAATGCTCAATCAGGGGGATTTACATGAACAAATGTGTGATGGACAGTCTAAGATAGAAAGATCTTTATATGACAATTGGACTTACTTAGGTACTTTAATTTCTTATATACTCGTATTTTTATGAGAAAATCTTATTAACACCAAGTTTACGAGAAGTTTACCAGCTCTTTAATTTGAAATTAGGTAGCAGAATCCCTGAAGTCTTAAAGTCTCAAATGGTTTTTAAAAGTCAACGAAACAGAAGCATTACACTTTCAGCAAAAGTTTTCTGATTTTTAAATGTTAAATTGTATTTCAATTTGTAGAGTATACAAAATATTGGCTTCAATCCATTTTATCATATTCTGTTGGGATAACGCCCACAGCAATGGAAGATGTCAAAAAACCTTTTAAACTGGCACCTCTGATTCTTATAGCCACTCATGCAGAAGAAAAAACTAAAAAGGTAAATCAAGTTTGATTAAAAAAAAAACAAAGCAAAGTAAGGAGATGATCATAAAAGCACTATCACTAAGAAAAATATTTTAAATGATATTACAATCTAAGAAAACCTGTAAACAAGTATTTGGCGTACTTTCGTGTAAACGTCAAGTGACTATTTAACAAGTGGTCAAATACTTCATATTTATTATCAATTAGTGTGAAATTTCTTTTCGCTTAAATAATTATATGTGAATTACTCATTCATGTTAGACTATTAATATTAAACATAATACCGTTTATTCTAGGATGTAGAAGACTATTTTCGTGATCTCCGGGACAAAATTCCGACAATTAGTTTCCACATTGATTATAACAATGCATTTTGCACTGGTTATTGGGGCCAAAATGCAAACCTGGAAGAAATTAAGAACGGCATAATAAACGTTGTTAAGACACTTCCAAACTGGGGGAAAAGGATTCCTTTGTCATGGTTTTACATAGAAAATTTAGTAAGAAAGCTTTCGAGTTTGAAAATAATTAACACAGATGAGCTATTACGAAGGTGTAGTGCAAGTGGTGTTGGAGTTGAAAGGAAAGAGGATCTTATAACACCATTGCTCTTTTTGCATAACACAGGGGTCATTCTATTCTTTGACGAAGATAATCTCAGAGATTTTGTTGTTCTAGATGTTCAGTGGTTTGTTGACGCATTCAAAAATGTTATCACGGATGAAAACCACGCAAAACAGGATATACCACAAGATTTGTACGAGAAATGGAAGATGTTTAATGATAATGGACTTTTGTCCAGTTCCCTGCTGTCCTCAGTCTGGAAAAAATGTGAACAAAATGATCTGTATAATACAAAGAAGAAAGAAATAATCACTATGATGACTAGACTAAATGTTTTGACAGAGGTAACGCCATCTGTTTTGACAAAGGTTACGCCATCTGCAGGTACAACAATGCCAGATTTGTGGTACTGTCCTTGTATGAACAAACAAATATTCCCGACAACAGAGTTTGAAAACTTAAGGAATTCTTCTCTTCTGTGTTTCAAGTTCACTTTTCTCCCGAAAGATCTCTTCCATCGCTTAATTGCTGCTTGCAGCAACAAGTTAAGTTGGAGAATTTTCAAAATGAAATCTCTGTGTATTTACCAAACTGCTACGGTTTTCTCAGTTTCAAACGGTAAAGTTTTGATAGGCATGCACAGTAACGATAAAATACTTGTCCAATACCTTGATCTTCCCGAGTCATCATTCGCTGATTATTTAGACATTTTTGAAGACATAACCAAAGTGATTGATAGACTTACAGAGAAGTTGATGCATTGTAAATACGAGGTAGGATATATGTGCAAAAAAACAGTTTTTGGAAAGACAAATATCTCTCTCTGCCATTTTATAGCAGAGTCTGATATGAAAGGAGAAAGTATTCACTGTCCCGAATGCGGATTTCATAGAAAAGTGGTTGTAAATGATATCAAGTGGAATATCCTACGAAAGGTAAATATGGACATTTTGAAAAACATTTTCATGTTTGCTGACATCTTGTAGTTAGATATGCAGTTTTAATTATTCTTCGCTAATCACAGAATTTTAATATTGATAGAAAAAGAAGATGCCAAGTATAAGTAAGTTAAACCTTGTCAGTAGATGTGTGTAAATTTGCCAGTTTGTTTTCTTATTTTCTATGCATTGCTTATCTGTTAGTTTTACATACTTTTAACAACTAAAAACAAGGAAAAGATGCCATTAATTCCAACCTAGGCAAAGAATCTAGTTTACGTTAAATTCATGTCACGATTGAAGATAAATGTCCCTTCTTCGCTGACAATTTTTTCATCTTTGTAATGATGTTTTAATTTGAAACAATTTACTTTATTGTTAGATAAATTTCGATATATTTTACGAACTGTGCCTCTGTCTAGCGTTGGCAATACTGAAGGGCAGGTCTTTGGTATGGGACGACATTAATTTGGGCTTGTCAGGGCAAATGCAATATTAAAAAATCCTCACCCATGACTGCTGCCTAAAGGTCAAAAATTGAAGCACATTAGCGATATTTGTGTCGTCTTATTTGAGTGAAAATAATTGCAAGGGACGTAACGCAGCACAATTAAGGCTAGAAAAAGGAGGCAATACCTAATTTTTACAGGAAATATTAACTATGACATCGCACGAAAATAACAATCCTTAAAAATACATCAAAATGAAGTGATTTGCGATGTTAAACTGTAGGAGATAATTTAACTACATCAAAACTTACTAAACATGCGTTTTTGTCGTTAGTTAAATCACACATAGAAGGTTTAAACAAGTCTCTGATCGCAGTGCACTTGTCGATATGACGTCATTCCGTAAAACTTAATGCAGTTTCTATGCAGTAATAGGCGGATTGAGTAGTATTTCCACAACGAAATGTATTTTATAATTAAATAAAATATTATTTGCAGATTTTTAAGAGGCCATTATTTTGGATGCAAAGTCCTTTTTATGATTTTGTTTATGTGATTACATTTCCTAATTTACGGACACTGTCGTATATTTTTATGCAGGTATATTGGAGGATAATCTAAGGGTCTTAATAAATCCATCTAGTGCAAGGGCATACTGTCAACTTGATCATGACAAGTTTTTAATTATAAATTCTAGAAGTATTAAGGTATTTGAAAAGTGCTGTTGATCCTGTTGAAATCTTAAAACTGAATTAATTATTTCTACATTTCATAACCAGCAAAAAATTCAGTATGTGTTCATACAAATGTGATTTTAGCAATAAAATAGTAGAATCTATATAGGATCGCAGCATTTTTCACAAACGATAATGGGTGTTGAAACTATTTAAAAATTAAACTTCGAATTTTAACTTGGTTATGCCCTTGCACTATTGAAATTTATAGGTGACCTCAATACTGCAAGTATAAGTGCTAAAATCACATGACTGCCACATCACTTGACAAGTCTAGATAGAAAATCTAATCGGCCTCAATATATAGTTAATAACCATAAATACATTTCGTCCGATATAAGTAAAGTACAAAAAGAATCGCCATTCTGAAAAAAGAATTTATTTTGTTTCATAAAACATCGCCGACATTTCCATTGCGCACCTTGACTGTACTGCGTAAAAGAAATAACAAACAAATTATTACAAATACGCCGTGTGTTCTTTCCATATTTAGTTCACCTGAGTTACTTGTGACTTAATGCTATATGTTTTTGTCCCCTGTTGTACTTATAGCGAACGCTGCGTGCTCCAATGACGTTCGACAACGAGTTCGAGTGGAGGAAATTCGGGTTAAAATCTACACATCGTTCAAAGAGATTTAATGAGTCAACGTGAAAAAAAAATTCAAAACTCCTAATCCTCTTTGCGCATAAAGCAATATTGTGGCTCAAATTAAGCAACAACTTACTTGAAAAAATTACAAACAACTTAGCTACGTTAAAGAAGGCCACATTTTTCACATTTGTGATACATCGACTGGTAAGTATCAATGTGACGTCTCAAAATTTGACAAGAGACAAAAATTAATCTTACCACATAATGATGCATAGATAATAACTTGAATACATTTATTTTATCAATTATTTAGTAAAACATGCTAAATTTCACCATTTGATAACAATGCTGCGGAGTAATAAGTAGTAAATCTTTATCGTAAATGATGTCACTAGCCTTGACTTGACGCAGTACAAGTGATCCAGATGAGTGGATTCATTAGTTTAAAAATTACAAAAATGTTTAATAAATATGAAACCATCGCAATTTTTTTTTTATATTAAATCAATAAAACTAAAAGGAAATTATATATATATATATATATATATATATATATATATATATATATATATATATATATATATATATATATATATATATATATATATATATATATATAAATTATCAATTTATCTAAGTGCTTGGAATTGTACAGCGACAGAGAATGTAAAGAATATCGCTTACACGATAAGCGTATTCCTAATTAACCTCAAAAGTACATGGGTATAGACTAGCTATAGACTGTTTGAGCTGAAATATGTAAAACATATCAATTGTTTATTTCATACATATTTTTAAAAATGATTCTGGTCTGCATAACATTATTTTTATTCATAACAGAATTTAAACCAACTAAGAATTTGTAGCTATTGTACGAGTACGTATTTTTGGCAAAATTACGAGTACTTCCGAAATGGTACAAATTAGCTCCCGGCACTTTTCAGGTACAGGATCTACGAGGGCTGTTCGAAAATTATTGAGACAGTGTGTTTATTCTTTTTTCTAATTAACGTCTTTCGGTGAAAATTTGCATGTACGTTTGACAAATAATAAAAATTAATAAAAGCAAAAAATATTTTACAAATATTTTATTTCTTCTTCTCAGTGGTATATTTATTTGTCAATGGTAGGGATACCCGGCGCAGTCACGAAATCAGATGTTGATAATATGTTACACCAACGTTCAAACTCCCGGTGGACTCATAGTAAAAGCGAAAATAATTCAATTTGTGTATATAATTTTTCAATCTAATTTTGACTTCATTTTGTGCAAGTTTGTTAGAATTTCGATCAGAAGTACGGAGATCATAAATAAATTTAAGCGCGGCATAGAAATCTGAGAACAACGACAAAATGGAATTTGACGTCAAGGCTGCGCCAGCCAGCATACACTTAATTTTGTGTAGCGCTATGGAGGACTCTTTTACAGACTAAACGACCTGCTAAAACAATAACAATGCAAAAAAAATGTGTTTAAGGGTTTTATTTTTTCATTGGTATATATTTTATTCTTACAAAATATTCAACAAGAGTAAAAACAAGAGCTCCAGACGACCATCAATTAATTGACCCGCTGTGCAAAAATCGGTACTGCGTGATGCTAATTCAACCTGTACATGACATTTCGTGCATTTTTTTACACTGAGGTAGCAACAGCACACATTTTTTTTAAATTTTATTTTTTAAAGAATTGTTTAAGAAAAGAGACAGTTTGATTTTTGGAATGTTATATGTGATAACAGAGAAAGAAGAGTAAACGCTTCCCGATCGTTTCACTTGCAAAAAACATCTCTGGCTGACGTGACATATTAAAATGACGTAGGGATGCTGCTCCATGTCGATAGATATATGCATGTTTATAATTTCACCGGAACGTGTCTAATTATCCTATGAATTAGAAATTTTGCACATTTCTTTTATTCGTTATTTATAAAATGTTGACGAAGTTTCATGAATGTATCTCTGGCCTTTATGGAGTAAAAGTAAATGTCTCAATAATTTCCGAACAGCCCTCGTAAACCTCTTTTAATGTGTATCATTTTTTTGTCTAAAAGCATGCGTAGTGCCCTTGCTTTAGCGTCGTTTTCAACATTGATATTAACAATTCTTTTTTTATACCAGTCACATGACACATAGCTGAAACATGCGATTTAACTGGTACTGAATACGGCATAAATCTATTCATTATGAATGTCTTTATAACCTTTCCAACATGTATACAGTTACTGTGTTATAGAGAATTTTAAAAGTTATGCATATTAAGTAGGTACTTAGATCGCATTTCCCATTTCCCTCCTTAACATAGTTGAGAAGGATGATATATAGTTTGGATGCCTCAAAACTATCGTTTAAAACCTCTCATAACATAACTTTGCATACAATGTCATATTTTCGTAACTTAATCGGCTCGAGTATGTCCGTTTTTGTCGAAAATTTCCGAGAAGCTCGCAATCTCTATCCCGACCATGGGGAGTCTGCGAGGCTTGAGATGTTTAAATATCTGAAAAAAAAGACATTAGAGAGACACAGTCAACCCAAGTCTTATGAGCTAAATGAAAATTGGAATGTTATAAACAGAAGGTAAAACGAAATTTTAGAGGAGTAGAATTGATAAATTATTATAAAAATGAAACTGCAGTTCAACGTGGGACATATCAATTCGTTGCATGTCAACCGTAAACTTTTGAATATTTTTCTAGCTTCTTTCAAACTGCTCAACTAGCTCAGAATTCATATTTATGTATTATTATATACATATTACCTAATAATAACTATGCAATACTATTATTATATAATAATTAATAATTCATTTAATTTTGTTGTGTAACGTATGTGGGTTAAGGGAAAGAAAATGTGAAATCCATATAGCTATCTCCCTTTCAAAAGCACAAAACGAAAAAACATCTTTATGCATTCTCTTAGAGGCAGCTTAAAGGGGATTTAAAAAGAGTCAACATCTTCAAGCCACCTTTCAGCTGCAATTTATAGGTTCTTAATCTCTAAACTTCTTGAAGCCATCATTAAGTCATCTTTAAGTCACCTTTATTTAAACCACCTTCAAACTATACTATTTAAGTATCCTTTATGATAGTATAATCGTTATTATTTTTTTTTATTTTGTCTCTTTAATTTCAACATTTGTGAACGCTTATCCGCTCCTGCAATTTACCTTAAAAGCAGTGCTACGAAAGAAAAAAAAAGTTTGTTTAAATATACGTTTTTAAAGTATTTTTTTAAATCCATAAATACACACTTTATATTTTTTTAATCACGAAAATGTGAAAAATTGAAAAATGGTTTTAACTCAGAAAGGAGAACCCTAGATATTTCAAATAAACGTACAATAAAATTTATCCATCATGGTAAACACATTATATTTCACACATAAATAGACAATTTCAGGCGTACAAAATCATGATTTCAGGCCTAATTAAAGTAAACAACCCGGCTCGAATGTAGACCGGAAATACCCTTGTGAACATTTTCCTAAAATCATGTGATCGGCGTGACTAAACGAGGAATAAAAACGGTTTTCCGGCATAACTCAAAACACGGCTATTAAATGACAGAATAATCAACAAGTCCGACTCTCTTGACCATTACCATGAATTATATGTAATTAAAGCTGTTAAGAGAAGTAACTGGAAAATAAAGATCGGTGCCGGTATGTTCTTGTCTTGTTTCTATGTATACATTTTCAGCCAAAATATCTAGAAGACATAGGAAATGAAGATACAATAATGTATATAATACAAAAACTATATGAAATAAGTGGGCTTTGGAGAAATATTATGGTAAAAAATTATGTAGGTCCCTTTCATCAACATTTTACATAGGAAATGCACTGAGAATTGCAAAAACACTGATTTGACAAAATCTAAAAAAGAAGGCTGGCTTGATAGGTTAAACAATCCAGAATATAGCCTGTTTAGTACAATTAAAACTACTCAAGAGTTCTTGAAAAATTCTGTACGATAACCAGGAACCTTGCCAGTGTCCTTAAAGTTTTAAAGATCATATAACAAGGGAACATGTACAATTCGTCCCAGAGGAAAACGGACGAAACAATGGAGATTTATTTATTTATTTATTTTTTATTTATTTATTTATTTATTTTTTTTGTAGTATGTCATCAAAAAGTGGTGTAACGAGTCTCCTTAGTATATTAATATCTTTTAAAAGAAACCGATTCTGAGAATAAATTTTACGAAAGTGGAAACTTTCTACGGAGAATTATTTTTCACGAACAACAAGAAGTATATTTTTTTACTATAACACTCGGACCAAGCGACTTTTAATTTCAATGGAAAGAATGACTTCATACTCTTTTTGTGGAAAAAAAGAATGAAAATAATTTATGAAACGTAACTGAATTTTTTTTTTTTTTTTTTTTTTTTTTTTTTTTTTTGTAGTCTCTTCTAACTATAAAGCCGAAAGCATACGAGCTGGGTTTGTTGTAAAATAAACCTTACAGTCAACTGAAGAGAGTCTTTTAGAAGAGGATTCCTCAAAAGGCACATGGGTCCTTTTGGTCATAGCAATTGCTTTTGAAAAAGCACCACACACAGAGGACAAAGGACTGTTCAATGAGACTAGATTTTCATTATTTCTTCAATTCACTCTCCATCATACATGTAAAACGGATCGAACGATTTTGACAAAATGAGAACATCAAGCGTAATTAAAAAAATATTTTCACAGACAATATATTTTAATGCAGTAAGTAGATCAATACCTTTCGTTGATAAAAAAAAAAAGGAATACCCGAAAGAGGAGCGAAATATAATACGTCTTTAAAATGAATATTTACAGGAAACCATGCAAAGTTTGTGAAACATATAAGTAGTCCTGGATACTTTATTCGGCACTTTTAAAGACATACTTTATACATCACGCATTTACATTGAATTATTCAGGGCTCTGATTTAGAAAGTTTAAGGAAATTATGTTGATTCTAACAGTATGGAAAGTGTGACTTTCCACCTCTAATAAATTTGTTACATTGCCGAAAATGACATTTTAAATTGAGCCTATCGAATATGATTTATATTTGATTAGTGTGTTTTGATTAAACATCTGCAAGGTCTGACACAGAAAGCTCCCCAAAGAAAGATGATGTTATAAGCGTACAATTTATTTTTTTTTTCCTTATACTTGTAACAAATCCAAAACACAACTATCACATTCAGAAATTTCAAAGTTTATATGAATTATGATTAATCAAATACAAGAGCTTTGTCGAAGTATAATATCAACCGGAAATGCTAATAAAATACAACCCAAAGAATAAAGCTCTTGCTAAAAATATTTAACCCCTGATGCATGTACATGTATCAACCAAAGTATTTTGCTTGCATATAATGCAGAAAACAACCTACCAAATGTACATATGCATACATAAGTAGAAAAGCAATCACTTTGTATCTTATATATTTTATGGAAAAAATAAATGCGTAGACTGTTTGTTGTTTCCTTTACTATTTAATTATGAGACACGTCTGCGAAGTATATGATTTATTATTGTAATGTGATCTATACCGTACAATGAGATATAAATTGATACAAATTAACGATTCAAACACCCTGTCCATCGGAACTATAAGTAAACAAACTGAATGAAATACACAATGTCAAGAAAAAGGTGTTTCACGTTATCATTACTACAGTTCCACTCAGAGCTACAGTTCAATATCACAAAAAATCCATTACCTAATCATCTGAATTTTTGGTACTTAATGGGTGGCATGACCTTTAGCTCTAATTACAGCGTTCAATCTGTTTGGTATGAATTCATTAATCCCTGAGTATTAAAGACCTCATATATACATCAAACAAATGTATTATTGAATTTCATAACTTGGAATGTATTGTCCACAGTGGTCAGAAAGAACAATGGGGGCAGCCGGTGTAAGAACGAATAATGACCCCCGTAGAAAAAAGATCGATGGTCATTTTTCGCCGTTGGCAAATGACCCCAAACCGTAGAAAAATGTAATTTTTTGTAGAAAGGGAACCCTATGGGTCAGTTTTCTTCAAAATATTGTATTGACTTCCGTTGAAAAATTACCCCCATCCTAACAGAGTTGTACAAATTTGAAAAGCGGTGATAGATTACAAGGCTTGGGTCCCAACGTGTAATTCTCGTGCGCTTTTTCTGACAAACACTTGGCAAACACGCAATTAAAATTGGGGGGTGGAGACTCGTGCTACGCACTCGTCCACCCCCAGATTCGTATCTACAATACAGTACCTGTCTCGTTTTCTAAATAATACTTATTCAAATTGTAAGATACTTTTGCTATATGTCCGAAAATTACATGTACTATACTGTTAAAATCATTGACTTGAAAAAAAAATGCACTTAAACACAATTTGATTAACCTGTAGATAGACATTATAAACAACTCTCTCTCTCTCTCTCTCTCTCTCTGGAATACATGTATTTGAATTTTATTTGTAAATCTTCTTTTTTAAAAAAAAAGCTACATTTGTCAAATCAAAATGGAAGCATCTCCACAATGTAGATTGAAGTCCATTCATGTTAACAATCTATCATATAGGACAGATCATTTTATTCGAAAGATTTAATGGAAGCATGTAATGTATCCTCATTTTACGTATACCTCAGATGAGCATTTCGGTCCACAGGCCTTTTGATTTATAATTATTGATCTTTTTAACCAAAATGAAAAATAAATGTATAACCCTACCAAAATCTAGACGGGCTCATTATTCTACGGGGATTTTTTTTCTTCACTTAGGATATTCAGATTTTAAGGGTGATGCCACTTTTTCTATAGGCAAAAGGTCATTTTTCGTAGTTGAAAAATGACCGCCAGTCATTATTCTACGGGGGTTATTATTTGTCTTTACACTGGTAAAGCGGCATACCCCCAACATTAACGTTATGTTGTGCTTTCCCCAACGGGAAAAATAGCACGCTAGGTTGAATTCAAACAAGCTACGAACACAATGCAACACAAATTCTAAAAATCTTTGTATATCATATTCTCGCTCTACATTTGATATTGCATCAATTTCCTCTGACAAAATAAGATCCATATTCCAGTCTACATGCGCCTGCAAAATTTTCCATTAAAATTGTTTTAAAAACTTAGCCACATTGTCATATCCTGTTTCAGGGCACCGTTTATGCGAAAAAATGCTCTGAAAATGAAATACCCATCATTGCGTAATAAAAACTTCTGTTAACGATCTTCCACCCCTAATTGCTATGCTTAAGAAATTAAGTTTTCCAACAAGTCATTCTAAGCTACGAGCTTTAACATTTTTCCTGTCAAGAAGGGCTTCTACCTTTCAATTCCATATTCTTAGCAAATCGACTGAATGAACTCATTCAAGCAAAATAATTTCCTGAACATTTACTACCGGTTTTGTAGATTGAGACGACTAACCCCCGGAAGACATGCTCTAGAGTGAGACTTCCCCTGGAAATCATGCTCTAGAGTGAAACTTCCCCCTTGGGGAGTTCTGACTCCAGAGCGAAAGAACCCCCTGGAAGTTTTTACTCTAGAACCACACTTCCCTGCAGGAAGACCTCTACTACTAGATGTAGAGTCAGACTTCCCCCATAGCAAGTCTTCCCCCTTCATTCAAACTAGCTTTCATTAGAACTTCAATCACTCTATAGAGATAATTTAGATACAAAATCTTTACAGCGCTGCATGTATTAATTGCCCCCCTTCCACTGAAAATGGAGGACATTAATTTGGGTCTGACTGTCCGTTTGTCCGTCCGTCCGACTAGCTGTTTTTCTGTTTATGCCTACCACTTTCGTTCTGGGCGATATCTAAAATTCTAAAATACATAAATAGGAAGCCATCTGAAGGCGTTTTAATATCTACCTTCCCTATTTCAGACCCTATCCTAACTCTGAAATCATATTATCTACAAGGAAGCAAAAGTACAATATTTTACGAAACATAACTAAGGGTTATAAATGTATTTATTTCCTATGTAGCTTGTAACACGAGATTTTATTGATTTGTAAGCCGGGTGTAAATTTCAGTACACTCGACTTGAGCCGGAGGTACATTACATGACGTCACAATGCGAACACCCTTGATTTGACCTGGATAACTAATATTATTTCCTATCTAGCTTGTTACACAAGATTTGATTGGTTAGTGAGCCGGGAGTAAAATTAAATGAAGTCAGAATGCATAGCTTTTCTATTACAAAAGCAAATAACATGACGTCACGATGCATCGTAGCACGTAGTAAATCTTATCGATAGTTTGAAACACCATTGGTTGCATTTGGGTTTACAAAGAATTAATTTGGTTACATGTACATATGAAATAAATTCGTTATCTAGGTTTAATCAAGGGTGTACTGGGCCTTCGGCCTCAGGGGTGGACGGAATAAAACCCGGGGTGTATCCCCTTACACCCTTGATTGAACCTGGATAACTAATACCAAGAGAAGGAGGTAAGACAATGCGTTATAATCCTTCACTTGTTTAAGGTACTAAATTTATTGGGAAAATATGTAAATTGGCATATGTGACTTAGAAAATTGACCCATAACCCGCCTCTCTTTGATTTCCTTAATAATTTTTTTCTTCTTCTCCTAACCATGTGTTGATTTGCTGACACAAAAATAGTTGAAAAAAAAATGTCATGGGCCCAACTTGTCTAAACCCCTTTGATAAACAATCAAGCAACATTAGCCCCTTGCCTTACTGGGTATTTAATATGTAAATAGGGAGATATCCTACCGTACATGTAAATTGGAGAATAACCAAGATCCCAAACTCCTATGCCCTATGAATTGCTACAAAAGTGGTCTTTTGATGGTGGAGGGTGCTCGATTTCCCCCTTGTCTAGCTCCTTGAAGGAAGCCATATCCAGATGGGCTAAGCTGTCGTTGGCTTAAAGATGACAACATTTTAAACATGCATGCACAAATGCACATGGACATCTAACGCAAACTCCCTGAAAAATGAAACCATGCCATTTATTAACCTCATAAAGCCCCGAAATTGAAGGAGTATGACTGGTCCCCACCATATAAGTCACCCATAGCTTAGAGTTTACTACTGCGCATAACCTAGTTGGATGCATAGCCATCTTAAGCCTGAATTGCTCACCATATTGCCTCCACCCGTTTATATTTTTGCTCCAATTCTAATAGAATGTTTGTATTTCAATACATCTTGACCTTTGTCTACGACGGTATATATACTCATATAAATTTTAAAAAGTGCATCAGTCCATTTCACTATTGATACAATGGTTATGATGTTTTTGGACCTTGAACACAACTTATCATCATTCCACATGACAAAAGCTCGGTTACTAGCACTATCCTCAGTGTTAAATGTTTTCAGTAAATAGGCCAAATCAATATATTTGCCTTTAATACATGTAACTTTCTGCCTAGTTGAAGAAGTGATACTGTGACCCAGAGAAAACTGCAATGAATTTATTTGGCGTGGAATGTAACCTTAAGTATTAGTGATTGTCCCGACTGCATTATCTGGGGGTCTAATGAATCTGAATTGACAATGCTGTCTGTGCTTGCCGAGGCTGTAGGAAGTGAAACTGGTACGGCTTTCGATATCTGGAGCATCTTTTTTTGATGAAGCTGAACCTTAACCGTCAAGGCTCCCTTCCTTCCTTCTACGCTTAGGCCTTGTCTCCTCTACTTGAACTTCGACATAGCGCTCAAAAATATGACGGAATATATTATCTATGAATATTCACCCTATCAATATCATTATGTCTCAATAATAATTTATTCACAAATACGAAGGTCTGCACAAAATCGCTATTTCTACAGTCGTTTCAAATTTCCCTCGTAACTTGTGCTTTTTTCGCATTTGTGTGAAAATCTATTTCAAAAATTCGCCATCGAGCAAAATCAATACTGACACTTCAATCAATGCTAATTATATCAACTGAAAAATTATTTTTAAAAAAAGTCAAAAGTGAGAGATAATTCAAAATTTACAAAATTAAAACCAGATGATTTTTACATTTCCGAAAATTTCATCAATTTCATCACCCTACTTTCAACTTCACTGATGGAAAAGGAGACATAACCCGAAAAAAGAATGATTTAGACCGATACTATATGGACGGATAACAAAATTCCGATTTTATTCAAATATCAATTTCCCGCAAGAACAAGAGCGACTGAATCATTGATGTTAATACATGTATATTAATAATAATAATCATATCAGAGTAAAGCTTTGACAACGTGAATATTACAAGACATGCGCAAATATGCGTTATCATGTGCTGGGTGAGGGAAATTCCGATCTGCAGAATCAATAAGGTATTAGTTTTGTTTTGATGTTATGTTACTCCTTTGATTTCGATTTTTGTTTAATCTCCATACATTTTTGTAAGGTTTAGATTTGGTAATTGGGATGGCTAGTCATAGCAAGGAATATTTTTTTGTTCTTTTCAGACTTTAATTAGCCCTAAATGACA